AACTTTAGAATGGTGCAAGTGAATTAATTTGCATTAAGAAAATGTTTTAGTGGGACATAAAAAAAAATTATTTTCTGATTTTCAGTTATGGGCCCACCTTTGTCTGCGAAAGCCTAAGCAAAGAAAGTTGGGTGAAACTAGAAATTTGTCAACCATACATAATTTTTTCATGAAAGTTTTGTCTTCAATATATATGTATTAATTACCCTTAAAAATAATTTTCCTACTCCCTAGAACTTTGTTTAATAGGCCAAGAAACACATGTCCTTAAAATTTTCTTAATCTTGTGATAATTAAAGTTATTTAGCACATGAAAGTAATTGTGACTTAATTTTCTTCTCATTCACTGTGGACAGCGTGTTAAAAGTTATTTTCTTACTTTCCAAACATCTCATTTTCTGCAGTTAATTATGACAATTGATCATTGCTTTGACCGGTTCAATGGATCTTAGGCAAATGCTCAGCCGAAATTGTTTATGTTTTCTTATTGTCAACCATTTTATATAATTATTAGCTTAACTAGATTTGGGGTCTATTAAGGGCTGCAATTCGGGTAGGGCAAATTTGGGTACTAATCCAATTTTATTACTATGAATCTGTTTGGATAAGATCGATTGAATTATGTGATAAACTCGTTATTATTTAAATTTAATTTGATCTAATTTGAAATTTTTAATTCAAATTATACTTCTAAAGACATTTTTTGTATTCAAAATTTTAAATAATTATCAACAAGTGATTGGTTTAATCGATTAATGTCGTTTTTTTTTACGAAAAAATCTTGAGTTGGAGTCTTATCGATGGTTACTTGTTGGGATCATATTGAATCTACGATTTATAATTAATTGTCTTAAATTATCAGATACGACATCTCTTACTCTAACTTAAAAAACTGAATAATTTATCTATCTTTGAATTTTTTTTTTAAAAAAAAAAACGTTTTAAATAGTTTGTGAAGTTTGGATTTTGATTTTGGAAGTATTAGCGTCTGGGTTGGGTTATAATCAGTAACAGGAGTTTTCGGTTCTAATTAGTTACAATCCTAGATAAACGTGATGAAAACATATAAAGCAATTTTCTAACAGAAATCAACAGTTAAATTATGAGTTTTCCTTTTTTTTTTTTTTTAAATTTGGACTGGGATGTTTTAATTAAATGGTTCAATGTCATGAATATTTTTCAAATTATAATAAGATATTTAATATAATATTTAAATCTTAAAATTTTTTAATGTAATATTTAAACATGAATATGTTAAATAATGTAATATTTATTTTTAACGTGATTAATTTCAAATACTAATATATGATAAATAAATAATTTTTTAATTATTACATTAATTAATATATTCATAATCTAGATATCACATTAAATATTTTTAAAATTTAAGTATCATATTAAATATTTTATTATTATATTAATTTTAATTAAAATAAGATGTCATATCTATAATTCACACATGTTTATGAGTTTTGTTTATCCTCTTTCTCTATATAAAAATATATATAATATAGGTGACGGACCAAGTTGCAAGAAAAAAATTTATATTTTTTTAACCATTAATTTCAATAAAGTTAATCTCATTCATTGAATTTATTAAATTAATCATTAAAAAAATATTAAAAAATATAAAACTTTTTTTATATAGATGAATCCTTCCCCATATATATTGTTAGACCCAAGCTAAAAGCTCAAGCTAAAATCAAGCAAATGAGGTCCACAAAAAGGTTGTCTAGACAAATATAAAAAATATTATTTGCGGGTCACTTGTTTTAAATAAACCCATCCATAGATAAAGAAAGCATGTATACATTTAACCTGACCCGAGCCATACAATTATATTTTTATGTATAAAAGCTTCAAGGTAAAGGGTTGGATGATAGGACAAACCTCACTCAATACATAACTATCCTCCTCGCTTGCATTACCTTCTTTGCATGGTTGCTAACTTGAGCGATAGAACATATCTCAAAATTCTAACTCCGACATCCTTTGATCGTTATGTTTTTAGCAGGTTATGGACCTTATAATATCAATTCAAAAATATCTTAACTTATATATTATATTGAGATCGAGATCGAGATAGAGATAGAAAGAGAATTTTATTCAAAAATACATTGGCTTGATACTAAGGAGAAAGTCAGGAGTAAAATCAAAGGTTGAATTCCCGCACCATAATTATTGCAGATGAAGAGAGCATTGGATTTTGTTTTAGAGTATTCATTGAATACTTTTGATTTCTTGAACTGATAGGGCCCTTGGGCTAGAGGAATATTCTTTTCTCCACCTTACCATGTCAGTTGCTCAATTTTTTTCATTATTTTAGGCCTGCAAATAATCGAACAAGTCATTCATCAATGGCCCACCTCAACAATTATAAGCCCCAATAACTCCATTTTATTATCATGCACCATATTGTTTGTAAGTAAGGTGATTGAAAGGGGATGGCTATCATGGTCAGTTAGTTGTTATTAGAGTTAACATTTTGAAGTTTTGGGTTTGAGAAAATTTACATGTGTAATATCTTCTTTAGTAAGGTAAATAGTAGGATATGAGAGATTTAAAAATAGATTAAAAACTTAAAAAAAAAAAAAAAGGTGATTGAAAATAGCCTTTAACAAGGTTAAAGTGTTAGCATGATGCTCATTTGTATATTCTTATGAATTTGACTATTTTTAATTTTAATGATTAAAATTTAAAATTTTAATAATTATAAATATATAAAAAAGATATAATCTTATTAAAGATATTTTTGTAAAATATTATTTACAAAAATATCTTTAAAATCTCTTCATTCAAAAAATTTTAAAGTATTTTGTGTTTTAATTAATAAATATTTAAAGTAAAATTAAATCAAAATAAAAAATTAAATCACAAAATATATAAAACAATATTTATAGAAAAATATAATATTTGAATCTCCTCTCATCTCTTAAAACTTTCCATACATAAAAACCAAAGAAAACTAGGAGAGTTGCCTAAAAAAAAAAGACTAGAATAGTTTAAGAGAGGTTTTTTATTGGCGGAGAAGTCCTTGCTTTAGACGGAAAGAAACCCACCATTTTATTTATTTAATTTTATTTATAAAAGGAAAGTTCCAATTGCAATATTGTGAAGTTTTGATTGGGTAAAAAGTGAACAAAATTAATTGGCTTTTCTTTTTTCCATAATTCGATTTATATTTGATAATTATTAGTATATATAAATTATAAAATAATTTTTTAAAATTTTATTTAAAAAATAAATTTATTTTTTAATAATATATTATTACATAATTTATTGAAATTATATAACATCATATACAAACACTGTGTCATTATCGTTTATCCAAATTACATGGTCAAGTTGCTATTAATAAAATGGACATCAATCTTTGTCAACAATGCTAGGTTAACTGATCTTTCCCTCAAGGAAAAAGGTCAGTGGGATTCAATGTATGAGTGTAACCCAAAAAATGGTCCCATCTTTATTAGTTTGACTTTTTTGGGAATAAAATTTTTTTTTTAAATAAATTTTTTATGGTGTGTGATATTTATGGTGTGCAGGATATTTTCTTTAATAATTGAATTTTTATTTTGTGGTGTGTATGATATTTATAATAAAAAAGAGAAGATATAAGAAAAATTATGAATTTAACTCTTTGATTTAGCTTAGAATTTTATATTTGATTATTTTAATTATGGTTTTGTTGAAAGAAAATCATAACGTAAAGTAAATGAGAAACATTTTTGATTTAATTATGAAGAGATTTTCATGTAAAATTATGAAGAATTTGAATTAAGAATTTCAAATGGTTTGATTAAGGTTAGGAATGGTAATAAGTCGAGTCGGGGTGAGTTTTTGTTCATTTCAAATTCGATTCGATTCGAATTTTTTTATTTTTTTAATATCCGAACTTGAATTTGATCTGACTTAAAATTAATAAAATATTATTTTTTAAATATAAATATTTAAATATATAATTATACAAATATATATAAATAAAATTTTAATTTTAATTTTATTTTTATATAATATCGGTCGAATTTACCTAAAAAAAAATTTTTTTTTTTGGTTTTTGGATGATTTTAATGAAAAAGATTTTTTTTATTTTATTTGACTTTTTTTTAAATTTTGTACTTTCAAAATTATAATATTGACATAAATATTAAAATATGCAAATAGTAATATTTTTATATAGTAATGTTTTAATTAATACAAGTATTTATTATTAAAATGTAAAAAATATTATATTAATATAAAAAATTAAAAGAAATACTACTAATTACTAGAACATTATTTATAGTAATATTTTAAAATAATATTATTTATAATAATATTTTAAAATATTTAAAAATGTATTTTTTATTATTAATATATTATTTATATTAGTATAAAATAGTAAAATAGTGATATTTATTATTAAAATATGAAAATATTTAATCATTATAATAGTAAAAAAATTTTAAATTTAATTATTTGAATTCAATTATACCAATGGAGTAAGAAAATAAATTAATTAAACAAAATATTAGGCAACTTGATCAACGAAGGAACTTAGAAGAAATTATGTAAAAATCAATTATATAATAATCAAATTTGAAAATTAAAACTATATATCGATAAAAATTAATAAAAAAATTAATAATAGTAAAAGTTAATAAAAAATAGTAACTTAGCAAAAATTTCATCCATATTATTATTATTATAATTTTCAATAAAAATTCTTATTTAAATAAAGTGTAAAATATATTCAAATTATTTGAAAATTTTTATATTTTTTATGTAATAAAAAATTTTAATTTATCAATTTAATTTTAATAAGGAATTTTTTTAATTTGACTTAAAAATTATACTTAATTTTGGCCAATTTGGTAATGAATAAAAAAATAAAAATATAAGAAGAAAGCAAGTGAACCATGCCAACTATAATAAAACAAAGCAAAAAAAAAAATTAAAAAAATAATTGTGGTGATGTAACAAAAATCACCATGGCGTGACGGAAACAAAACCTCAAAAGACATTTCCCGGTCAAGCAATAAGCATGCCTCCTTTCCTTATGTCTACTCCCTAGAGCTTTGAACAAAGCTTTAATTTTTGTTCTCCCCCTTTCTGTCTTCCTTTTCTTTCTAATTCTTCCATTTCTGAGGTAGAGAACCATGTACCCAGCATCTTCGTCTCAAAAACCCATGGCTCAGACCGGGTTAACTCGTTACGGTTCAGCGCCGGGATCTCTTCTAACCACCGCCGTCGATTCCGTCATCGGAGCTAATTCTAACCTTGTCGGCCACTACTTCTCCACTGACTCATCGTCTTTAACATCAGAGTCAACTTGTAAAGTCAGCTCATCCAACGATCCACAAGAGCCTAAACCTGCTGCTCCTCCTCCCCATGGATCTTACCCCGCACCTTCTTCCTCCTCTTTGCTCAGACAACGTAGCTCTCCTGCTGGTTTCCTTAGTCACCTCAAAACCGAAAATGGTAATGACCGTTTTGTCCTTGTTATATTTATTAATCATTATCCACTTAGGGGTAATTTCGGCATTTTAACTTTCTTTCGTTTGGTTGGTCGCTTTGCTTCACCTGAATAATTCACCGGCATTGGCCGTTGACCCAATTTGACATCGACAAAAATGTCACATCTCATTCAGTTTAATAGCAAAAATAACCCTAGAAGAGGAATAATCTGGTGGGATGATGATCCAGGGAATTTCCATGTAGCTTCCCCTAGGATAGTTTGGTTTAATAATTTTGATGTGGTAACATTTCCTCTTTGTTAGTTATTTATTCGTTGGAGTAAATATAGTTAATCGTTAAAACTCGAAACTTAATTTAGTTGGTTCGTTTCGTTCCATCGTTAAGAGGTTATATTTTAGCATCTGTAACCCTTTCTTTTATCTCGGATTACGATTTTTTTATGAAAAATTAGTTAATAATTGCTAGTATTTTTTATTTGGATGTAACTTGTTATTTTGGTAGAGTATTTAATTTTCTTTTGTTCTTAAATTATTTATGTTACTAACAATATGTTATAATAATTCTAGATTTGACCCTTTCTTTATCTTTTTTTTTTTTGGTTTCTTGGCAACACTATTTTTTTTAATCTGAAAGTTATGGAAATGTAATGTCCAAATGTTATATTGTATCCTCCATTTTAATATTGATCAAATATTTTAATGCTTGAATGAAGCAAAGATGGGTTATTTTCAATGCTTACAAAAAGTTTCTAGTTATTGCCAAAAGAAAAAAAAATTATAGTTTATCGAATTGTTTTTACTCACATGAAGAGATTTCATCAATTTTTTATGACTTGTTTTCCTAATTGTTCTTGCAACATTCCTTAATTATCCTTTAGAAATCTACTTTTATCCTCGTAGAATTATATTTTTCTTGATACATTTCATAGAATATGTTTAAAAAAGTTAAATTTCAAAAGCAAATGGCATTTGAAGCTACTTAAGGTGGCATTCAGTAAGTTTGGGTTCAAGTCCGAGCATATGTAATTCCTTTTCTTATTTACAACCCGCAGTCTCTTTTGTATAAAAAAGAAAATAGGGAAGAATAAAATTAATGGCTAGGCAAAGTTATAGATAGCCAATCCATGCAGCCCACTATTTCTTTTGCTGGCAGAATCTTACAGGGTATCTGTCACATGCCTTAACCCCACCGGTTTCTTAGTAATCGAACAATATGCTTTTATTTTACTTTATCAAAATTGATATAGATGCATAAAATAGTACATGCTTTGTGGGGTGGAGCTTGGACATATTGGATGTGCAAGTTGGACAGGTTGGAATAAAGATAGGTGAGCTTTGTACCACTATCTGATAGATACCAGTAGGATAATAGGGACTTGAAGCTTGCCCTATTCATATTTTTTAACTCTTATATTTAGAAAAATTATAACAGTGAAGTTTTTAAATTTCATGAATGGATTTATAGTCTTGTCTTACCTCACATTCATTTAATTACAAATAAGAAAATTAATAAGTTAATGTAATTACTTAAGTGGACATATGTCGATAATAAAAACGTGCTTTAGTTAGTAGTTTAAAAATTCCATTGTTTGTGTATATTTTAATAATTTTATATCTAAACGCATATTTTACTTGTTTGCTTTGAAAATTAAGTTAGATTAAACAACCATATTACTAGATAGAGTCTAGATTATTTGTTCTATAGATATGATAAACATATAGAATGACAGAGGTAGAGCAGTACCAAAAAAATAATAATAATAATAATAAAAGTAATGCATAATATTAAGGTTGCATTTTAGAAGTATTGAAATTGTATTCATTTCATTTGACGATGAATGTTGCGACAAAAATATATTCACTGATTTATTATCATTTTCAAAACCATTTGCTAGGTTGTAGATTCCAAACTAAAACAAGTTATAGATTTCACATGAATTCCAAAAAGACTATGAATTTCAACCATTCTAAAAGCTGCCTAAAACTTTTTTGTTAAAAAATGACCAAGTTGAGTTGGTCTAACCCAAACATGGTTGAAATTCGTATTACCTGACTTTGTGATGCGTTGATTCATTATAGAATCTGATTTTTTTTTTTATGGATCACATGGAGTGAATTAAACACAGTCATTGCAGGTTTCTCTCTTACAAGGGGCACCGGAAATTACAGCTCCCAAGCTGATGCTAATGGTGGCCATGGAGTGTCAAGATTGAAGTCTCAATTGAGTGTCACTAGACAAGATTCTCTTTCTCAGATATCTGAAGTAAGTGAGAATCTTGTTGATGGTGTTATCTCTAGCAGTAACCATCCAAATGCTGCACATTCATTTGCTACTTCTGGGTTTGGAATGGATTCATGGGATACAAATACCATTATGTTTTCTGCCCCACCAGGGAAGAGAGCTAAAAATATTGATAGCGAGATTTATAACTGTCTAAATGCCTTGGAAACTCAGGTAGATTTTTCTTCTCATTTTAAATGACATCAAAATCAAGGAAGAATAACTTAATGCTGTTTGTTTCCTATATCTTGTAAGAAAATGAATATTTGGGAGTTTATTAATTCTCATACTTAGCTCAACACGGTTGTTTGTCAAGTAGGAGCATGATATTGTCATCACCTTGATGAATAACAGTGTGCTTTACAATTGTGTTGTTAACTTCTTATTATTGGCCTTACATACTTCCATTCAATCTTTATTTCAGTTTAGCCTGCCCCAAACAACACTTGAGATGGCTACAGTGGAAAAGCTGCTACATATTCCTGAAGATTCTGTGCCCTGTAAAATCCGAGCAAAGCGTGGCTGTGCCACTCACCCTCGAAGCATTGCTGAAAGAGTAAGTTAAATTTCAAGAGATAAAATTACTAGTGATAGGTTGGTATAATTTCTTAGAAATCAAATTGCTTATTCAAAGGTTCATATGACCAATCTATAGCCTTTCAAATGCTCAGTTCTATCAAACTTTACGTTATGTCTCAGAAAGTTCAACGTCTTTCTTATGTACCTTGCACTTGTAGGCATTTGTAAGGGCTATTGTCAAGAGTGTATGATGCAGAAGTTATATTGCTATTAGCCATGCACTTATTGCTAGACATAGCGATTCATGTATTCTTCTCATGTAAAATATTGAAATTCTTGTATTCCTGCCATTTTTTTTCATGAAAATTGTGTGTTACAATTTATGTGGACATGAAAACATGTATACATTTTTTTTTGTTAAACCCATATATAGTTATTGCTAAAATTTTAAATCGTGACATTTTCTTGTCCCTTTTTCTATTATGTCATCATATCGTGTTTTGGATTATCAAGTCTACTTATTGCATCCATGAATCCTATGATTCGTTCATTTCTAGCCTTTCGTTCCACAATTAAACTTTTGACATTGTTAGGCATGATACAATATGGAAGAATTGGATATTCATTGTCCCCCTCTTTTTTTCTTTTCCTTCTCTTTTGGCTTAGAATTTTATTTGATGTGCACATGAAAAGCTCCAAGAATATTTTTTGAGAGTGTCCATTTACAATATATATAAAAATATAAAAACGAATTTATCAATTTTATTGACGAAAAGGGTGTTCGTAGGAAAATTTTAGGTGTCCAATTGAAATTTTCCTTCAAATTTTCTTACTTTTGGTGTCTATTGGAAAAGTTTGGGGTGTCTAGTTGAAAATTTCCATTCAAGCTTTAATTTTTTCCAATTTTTGGGGGTGTCCTTGGATACCTGCCACCATTGTCAGCCATATTCCCTCATGCTTTCACTGGAGTATAAAGCACTCATACCTGCACAAGCATGGTAATTTCTGCTCATTTGTGGAGTAGGTGACAAGTGCGATAGGATAAGAGTGCAGCTAATGAGTGCAGGAATATGATCTGTACTTCTACTTGTTTATTCTATAGGTGTAGAAGAAGCTAGTCTAATGGTAATAGAAAATCTTATTGTGCCATTTGATCATATGTATGATGGTTGGATTAATTGACAATTCTCATTAGCATTTTTTCTTATCATTGTCTTGGAGAAGATACTTGCATTGTACACTATAACTTACAGTTGGTTATTAAGATACATGAGCATAGCATATACATGTTTTTTCTTTCCCCTAAGGAATGTCCAACCATACAGTGCATCATTAAACTTCTTGTATATGTACAGGAGAGAAGAACAAGAATAAGTGGGAAGCTGAAGAAACTACAAGAGCTTGTTCCTAACATGGATAAGGTAATCACTTTTTTCTATAGGGGCTTAGATTGAGCCTATATTTAGGTTGCTTTGAATCACTTGTTTCCTTAACAAAGATTGTGGACTTATGGTTTCCAGATTATTGTGTAAGGGATCCGTTTGCAAAATATATATGTTACTTTCGATGTAGATAACATATCTTTAAAATCTTCTTGCAGCAAACGAGCTATGCAGACATGCTTGACTTGGCTGTGCAGCATATTAAAGGCCTTCAAAATGAAGTTCAGGTTCGTAAATGTGTCTTGCTGAGTAGTAATTATTATTATGCTTTTTTTAGCATAGAAAATTGTTACTTTGAAGACCCTCAAATTTGATTGCTATGATTCTGAACATGATTGGTGCTTTTTACAAAGGGTCAGCATTTGAAATCTATCTATGATATATGTGTTTGTATGCACATGTGTGCACATGCACAACATTACGGGACTGATACATTTGAAATCTTGATGCATTTAGTGCATTGTACAGTTCATTTTAATTCATTAACTTTCTTACCATTATTTTGTATTGTATCCAAAGAGAATAAATCCTGTGAATTGGAATTCAAGGGTATTTACATAATTCAGACTGTCCTTGGAGACTCAACCTCAAAGATTAAGCGTGTTGCATTAGGCTTGAGTTGTGTGCAGCAATCAGATCCATTCCCAGGCCTTTCTCAGAAAGGCATATAATGTCTAGGCACCTGCTTTTCTCATGACCAAGCTATTTCATCAGGCCCTCCTGTAAGGATCATGATTATTAACACTTAAAACACTCTGGACCTTTTGCTATCATTAACATATTTGCTACAAGCTGGAGTATGGAGTCCTTAAATGCATCTAGAAGTGAAATATACAATGTGGAAAATCACTTAACCACTTTAGAATTTTAGCAATCTAGACTAGAGGGCCCAACTGAGTTTTCTGGGACAAGTGCCTTTAAGAGATAGCTTTGATCTGTTCATTGTCTATGAACAGTTTCCATTAATTTCTTCTGCATGTGTTACTTCTAAAACAAAGCAATGGTAGGAAAATGTGGTATATGGTAACCATGGATCTGTTCATTGTCTATGGTTGAAATTGTAGTCTGCTGTTTATATTGTCTGCAAAAGTGTAAACATGAATGCCCTTTTTATCTTTTTGCAAATAGGCTTTGAAGTTGGGCATTTTGATTATCTTTCCTTTCCTACAGACTTAACAATTTGTGTATTTGTGTTATGTCTATTTCATGTCAAACACGTGTAAAACATAAAAATTGATATGTAATATTTCGTGTCGACATACCAAAAAACTAAACTTATTTTTTTGTTTTTGCTAAATTCATATATGATTTTTGTCAATTTTAAACCCTGTGCATTCACATCTGTTTTCATATTGTTTTCTTGCCATGTCTAAAATTGTCATGTCTATTTATAGTTTTTATTTGATATTTGTATTTCCTCAATTGCAGAAACTCCACAGAGAACTGGAAAGTTGTACATGCGGATGCAAGGAAGGCTCATGATGGTTGCTAACCAGGTGTAAGGAGACAATCACTGGTCTGATTTCCAAAATTTGAAGGTGTGGATATGCTTAGTGAATCCAAAACGCATTTTGTTGTCTTTGACTTAATAATGCTGCAAAGTAGAGTTATAGATTTTGAAAATGTATATAAATTAAAGTTGCATTGTTCCCTAGTTTAAGATGAGAGGTAGAGTTGAAAAATGAAAAAAAAAAAAAAAACACAAAGAAATTGTTAAATGCAACTTGTACTTAAGTTTCCCTTTCTTGTTAGATTGAGTGTCAGATCTTGTACCACATGTTTTGGCTTTTGTATTTTAGATGGGAATAAAGAATTCATTTGATGTTTGGGGTATTTGATATTTATTCATGCAACAATCTTATAAAATGTCAATGTTATATTATATGATTGATTATTCCTATTAACTATTGCTTCAAATTGTGTTTTCTTCTTCATTGTGATTTTTAAATTAGCAAATATCTTTTATAACTAAGATCATAATGAATCAAATTATTTGTAATAATTACATTTGAATTGAAAAAAAAAATCTATTAATTTTTATATATTATTAAAAAAAAATTTAATTTTGTAAATGGAGTAAGGTAAGTGTAAATGTAAGTTTTACATGAATCAAAATGATTCAATGTAAGTATTATACATTTAATTTTGATTTTAGGATATTTATAGATGAAAGAGACAAATAAAAAATAATTTAATTTATTTTTTGAATTTATTAAATCAATAATTAAAAATATAAAACAAAACTTCGACATTGATGAAAGTTGGCTCTGATGGTAAATTTATCAATTTAAAATATAATATAATCGAATAATATGAATATAAAATATGCAAATAATATTATTTAAAATTTTAATAGTTATTATATTTAAATTTAATAAAATTAAAAAAAATATTTTTTATTTTTCTTTTAACATAAATTATAATACATATTTCATAAAATACTATATAAATACACAAACTTTAAAATTTTACACTGTATGAATTGCCAAATTCGCTCTTGGACTCAGGGTTCTCCTTTGTCACAATGACACATGTCCCCTCCTTAAATTTTATAATTTACCCAGAATTTAATTTTTGCAGTAAAAATAAAATGAAACATAGGTACAATTAGCTTCGGACGAGCAGCTTAACCAGAAGTATCCTACATCAGAATTTGAGAACTAAACCAAAGTAAAACGATTCTGCTCTTCTACTTGTGCCGTCTGTTGTTACAGTTCGAGTTTAGCTTCTCCTTCTTCTGCTTTGCTTGTTTTCAAGATATGGGTAAGCTTAATTCTTCACTAATTCTTCGTTGGATTGTTGATAGTAGAAGGAGGACTCTTTCTTATTTCAGCTCTTCTTTTTCTTGCTCTTTTACCACCATTGCTACCCACATATTCAGAACTCCATAACTGTAAGGGGAAAGGGAAAGAAAGCATGATTGTTTTGATAATGTTGATGATGCCCTAACTTTGTATAATCAGATGGTTGAGAAGAACCCAAGGCCTTCCATTGTCGAATTTACTAAATCATTAGCAGCTATTGTGAGAATGAAATATTATGCCCTTGTTGTTTTTCTGTGTAGCCAAATGGAATTATTTGGAGTTTCCCACAATGTTTATTGCTTGAGCATCTTGATTAAGTGTTTTTCCGTTTAGGTCAAGTTGATGTTGGGTTCTTTGTTTTGGAAAAAATGCTGAAGCTAGGTCTTGACCCAAGTGTTGTAACATTCTCAACTTTGATCAATGGGTTCTGTACTCAAACTAAGCTTGCTCATTCTGTGAGTTTGTTTGATGTAATGATTAGAAAAGGTTATGAACCTGATTTAATTACTTACAATACAATACTTAAAGGGCTGTCTGAAACCAACAATACCGATAAAGCTGTTAGGTTGCTAAGGATTATGGAAGAAAGAGGTTTCCAACCTGATATTGTAGTATATAATTGACTTGCCTTTGTAAGAACATGCTGCTAATAAAGGCTTTCTACCTCTTCTCCGATATGAAGGGTAAGGGCATACCACCAGATACTGCTAACAATTGCTTAATTCATGCTATGTGTAATTTGGGCCGGCAGGAGGCAATAAGGTTTTTAAATGAAATGGTGGCTACCAATATTCCACTTGATGTTTTCATGTATAGTACATTGGTTCATGCACATTGTAAGGTGGGGATGGTTTCTGAGGCTGAAGATATTGTTGAAACAATGATAAAGCAAGGCATTGGCCTGTCATTGTGATGTATAATGCATTGATTGGTGGTCATTGCTTGGAAAACAAAATATATGAAGCCAAAAGAGTATTTGAGTTGATGATTAAAAGGGGTTGTGCGCCTGATATATTTAGTTACAACATCATGATCAATGGATATTGCAGAGCTAGCAGGTTGGATGAAGAAATGAAACTTTTTTTGTGAAATATCTTGAAAAGTACCAATCGCTAATGCTGTTACATACAACGGTGTTATACAAGGCATGTGTCAATTAGGAAGATTTTCTGCTGCACTGGAAATTTTCAAGGAGATGTGTGCTTCTGGTCAAGTTCCAAATCTAATGACCTATTCAAATTTTCGTTCAAATTGTTTCAAACAATGCAGAACAGTGGGTTGGAACCTCATGTTGTCCACTATAGTATCCTAATTGATGGCTTGTGCAAAGTTGGGCATATTAAAGTTGCAATGGAATTATTTCATGAACTCTCTGTCATAGGTTTAAAACCTAATGTTTACACATTTACTATAATGATCAATGGACTGTGTAAAGAGGGATTGCCAGATGAAGCATACCAGTTGTTTAAGATAATGGGAGATAATGATGATTGTTTGCCTGATAACAGTTGTTACAACATGATGATCCAGGAAACAGCTATAACTCAAAGGCAATGCAACTTCTTAAGGAAATGGTTGATAAGGGCTTTTCTGCAGATGCATCCATTGCCACCTTATTTGTGGATCCCCTCTTGCGATGTAATAGATTGGTCGTGTTGAAATGTTTCACGGTTTGTGTGAAGATTGTCACTTTGCAAATGTGAATTGATTTTGTCATAATCAATTATGCTTATGTTATAGATTCAAGATTTTAGAAACTAGAAATTAAGATTGTTCATTTCTATATTTCAGTTTAGATGTTGTCCTTTTAGCATTAAGCATAAAAGAATACTAAATCTCATAACTTTTTAAGATTATTATATTGTATTTTACATTTTGATTTTGAGTTTGGTAAACAAAGCATCATTTCACTTAGCCAAATAAATATATGTTATCATATTCTTACTTTCCGGGGTGGTTTGAAATAGAATTTTCTTTTTTTTATTTTTTTTGTACATATGAGGTCGTAATCTAAGGATAAGAGAAGAGGTTACAGGTGTTGAGATTTGAACTTCAAATCTATTAAATGTTATCTCTTAAAAGATAGTTGCAAATACTAACTGAAGTAAGCTCCGAGTTCGAATTTTCATTCTCCTTTGTCCATGATCCAAACTTGGGTCTCATCAAAAAGTAAGAACGTGGTTAGAAATAGAAGAAATTACAAGGGCTGGTTCCATGGATAAGGTAATCACGTTTTCTATACTGGACCTCAGAGTGAGCCTATATTTAGGTTGCTCCTAATTATTCATTTCCTTAACAAGGATTGTGAACTTCTAGTTTCCAAATTATCGTGTAAGGAATCCAGCCTAATTACGATGTATATATGTTATTTTCGATGAAAATAACGTATCTTTAAAATCTTCTTGCAGCAAACAAGTTATGCAGGCATGCTGGACTTGGGCATGCAGCATATTAAAGGCCTTTAAAATGAAGTTCAGGTTTGTAAATATGTCATGCTGAGTTACCAACTGTTATTATTATTATTATATTTTTTATTCTGTTTTGGCATAAAAATTTGTTTCTTTTAAGACCCTCAATGTATAATGATATGACTCTGAACATGATAGGTGCCTTTCACAATGGGTCAGAATATGAAATCCATCTATGACGTGTGTGTGTATATGCCCATGTGTGCATGTGTGCAACGCTACAGGACCGATACATAATGTCTAGGCAACCACTTTTCTCATCACCAAGTTATTTTATCAGGCTTCGTATAAGGATCGTGACACACATAACATACTGGTTATTTTGCTATCAATAACATATTTACTACAAGCTGGAGTACAGAGTCCTCAAATTCATCTAGAAGTAGAATTTACAATGGGGAAAATCACTTAACTAGTTTAGAATTTTAGTAATCTAGAACAGAGAGCCAAACCAAGTTGTCAGGAACAAGTGCCCTTTTGTAGCGTAAGGGATAGCTCTGATCTTATTCATTGTCTATGACCAGGTTCCATGAATTTCTTCTGCATATGTTACTTTTAAGAAAACCATGCAATATGGTAGGAAAATATGGTGTATGCCTTTTGTTAATAGATGAACCTGAAATGATGTCTGTATTCTACTTTTCTGCCTCAAAACAATTAACAAAAAGCTATTCTATTTGGTAGTGCCTGTTAAAAATTTAGGCTCCATAGCATCTTTGTATCCCACACATGAGAGATTATTGGTGTTTCGTTCAGTTTTTTTTTTTCCGTAACTTGAATATAAATGAAATGAATGTAAATATTGAGATTCGAATCTCAAGCTTATTGATTGTCATATCTGAACAAATTGACCCAATCTCCTGGTTTTGTTAATCAAGAGCCTTGATTGCATAGATGGTGGTAGAACATAAAAGATGTCAATGGGAATATTGTAGTCTACAGAATTTACCCACACAGTTTTCATATATGTCTGAGTTTGCTGTAATTAAGAATAAGAACTGAAATGGCATCAGATTATAAAAGATAAAAATCATATGAGGTATATATTTGTTGTATAACATAGCCTTAGACCAAAGCAAGAGATTATAAATTTCATTAATTACATTATTCTCCCGATGTTAGAAGATAGTAGACTATGAGGCACGAACACGACATTCATCCTCTCATACAGGGTTATACGAGTTGATATTATACATAGATGGACACATTATAGAAAATGAACACGTTCTTCAAACGTTTTGATACGACAAATCACAAAGTTTATACTAGAAATTCGGGCAAGAAAAATCAATTGGATCATTTTTTTTCATCCAAAAAATTTTAGTAGGCAAACTCACAAGAAATACCATAAAGGCAGTCATTTTTTGTAAATATAGAGAAGCAAATTTTAGTAAGAAAACTCAAAAAAAAAACAAAAAGGCATTTGTTAGGATATATGGTGATTAAAAGAGTATAATGATTTTTTTTTCTCTTAAGATTTTTAGTAGATAATTAGAGATATCTTTATTTTTTATGTCAATTTGACATGTTAGATTGATCTGATATGATCTGATATGATCAATGTCATTTCAGCTCAATCATGTCTTAATTATATTTTTTTTAATTTACCTAAAAATATTAAGATTCAAATATCATGAAATCAGGTTTATCCATTCATTTTTTTTTACTTTTTATTTTATTTTTTTAGACTTGATTCTTACTTGCATGCGGGATAGAGTGTAAATGCAAAAAATATCACTTTAATCAATTTTTTTTCTGTATTTATAAAAATATCCCAACAGTATCCTAATTTTTTAAATATAAAGAAGCCAAATACAAAAACGAGAAAGAAAGGAAAAGGGTCTGAAGGATAATGGATTTTGATTCATTTGAAGAGAAAAAAAAAAAAGAGAAAAAGAGAGGGGTGCTTGGGGGAAGAACCGACAATAAACTAAAAAATAAGGTAAATTCAAGAATTTAAGTATATTTGTTGATTACTTTTGGTACGAGGCAAATAAATTAAGACTTTAAAAAAAAATCAAAGAAAATGAGACGGAAAAATATATCTCATAATCTCAACTCTAAAAATAAAAAGAAAAAATAAGAGTAAGACAATAAAATTGGTTGAAAATCTAAATTGATCATATAATAAGATTATAATACCAAAAACAAACTAACATACAAACCCATGCAAAACACATTTAAATTACTCTTAACGGCTATGGTCAATGTCAATTATATATTCTTCTTCTTCTTTTTTTTTTTTTTTCCTTTGTAAAAGAATTAAATTTCTATTACCTTCCTTGTGTATATAGTATTTTTTTTTTTTATATAGAAAGATTAACAATCTACTAAAGTAATAATACTAATTTATTAAAAAAATCTCATCGTGAGCCCACTTCTCACGTTCATTCGCTGTATGTCTTTGCCAGCTCAGCTTCGGACAGAACTCCCCAGACATCCCATGATCCCATCCCTTCTCTCTGACTTGCTTTTTTCAGACACCAAAATCCCACCGCACAAAACCAAAGCCAAAGTCATGTCAGACGACGAAAGTGGAGGAGAAGAGTACCTTTTCAAGATAGTAATAATTGGAGATTCAGCAGTCGGCAAATCCAACCTCCTTTCACGCTATGCTCGAAATGAATTCAACCCACATTCCAAGGCCACCATAGGAGTTGAGTTTCAGACCCAAAGCATGGAACTCGATGGCAAAGAAGTTAAGGCTCAGATTTGGGATACCGCTGGTCAAGAAAGGTTCCGTGCTGTCACTTCTGCTTATTACAGAGGCGCTGTTGGTGCTCTTATTGTTTATGATATTAGCAGGAGAACCACCTTTGATAGTGTCGGTCGGTGGCTTGATGAACTCAACAGTAAGTTTGGTTATTACTTTGTTTGCTGGTTTTTTAACTACCCTTTTCTTGGTTCTCGTTTTCCTATCGGGTTTTTGATGTTTGCTGGACTGAGTGAATTATATGGATTTTTAACAGGTTTTATGGTTTTGCTTTGTCATTGGAGGATTTGTTGGTTTGTAGTTGTTGGTTAGATGAGAATCAGGATCAGGGGATATCTTTTAGGTAATATTGACTGTTTAACTTGATTGGATTTTAACATTTGATTTTGGTGGATTTGGCACTAAAAAGCACTAGTTATAAGAAGATCAATTGGAATTTTTAGTTGGTTGGTTGTTCTTTGGTCTTCTTTTGTGTGCCTTTTTCAGGAGTCTATCTTGATTTGTTGATTCAGTTGGTTATTGTGTGTTGGAGTAATAGATCTGATTCTGTAATGACTGTAGTTTAAGGCTAAAGTTAGAAGAAATAACAAGTGTTTCCTAGAAGAAAGTAGGAAAAGCTGGCTAGGGACTGATTTCCTGATGCTTTTTTTACTTTCATGCTCCCTAGGGTGGATTTTATCCGTTAATGTGGCATTTGTTCATATAGGATATTTGTTAACTTGCATGTTGCAAATTCTTACCTTGTCTTGTGGATGCATATTGCTAGATAGTGCACTTTTTCGGGTGGAATTATTACATGTGATTTTCCAATTTCCCTAAATGGTTTTAAGAGGCAATACAAGAACGGATCTTGGATTTAGTTGTTCGTCTTGTTTGACTGTTTATTGTGCTGGAAAGTAGAGACAACGTGATTTAGGTGATAGTCAATTTCTCCTTTTTCCCCCTTGGTTTCCACTGATATTCGTGCTTTTGTCTTTTAGAACATGAACCAAGGTTATCAGATTTAGGATTTATCATGAAATTAGTTTCCGTCTTTGAGTAAAACTAAAAGAAAAAAAAAAAAAACTGTAAGAGTAGAATAACACCAAAAATGATACTTAAATACTCAATCTACAAAACCATATTTTATTCTTTTTTGTTCCATAAAATCTGATCTCCTTCATATATATTATTAACCCTGTAATAACTTCGCAAGCACTCATATGTCATCTTACATATCTCTACTGGCTAAGTGAGCTCTATGAAACAATAAGTAGTTGCCAACCAATAGGCAACTATACAAAAGAAGCTATATTTACAATATGATTTATATTTCCTGCTCGGTGCTCTGTTACCTATTTTGAGAATATGAAAAAGTATTATCCAGTGAAAGATAGATAGAAACCACAATCCTAGCTTCTTTGTGAGTAGTGTACCTAACAGATGCAGTACCACCTACTTGCTAATACTGCGAACAGAAAGCAATTCATATTGGACATACATAACCTGAATCAATAGAATCTTGAGGCCATGTGGGTGGATGCACAGCCAACCAAGTCAATTATACCTATTACTTTCACAAAGCAATCCTAATTAAGCATCTCCTTGGAAAGAAAATCCCTTACCATAAATGCACTTGGAGTTTTACTAGTGTTCTCCATTGAGATTTTTTAATCTTTTTCTTTTTCAAATGAAACCATCATGAGTATAGATTATGAGAAGAGTTCCAATACCTTTATGGTAGGGATAATTTTTAAGGCATTTAATATCCTTTTCCCTCGAACCAAGATTTGCACATGCCACCTTTAGGTCTTTCATCATATCTTAATTTTTGAATTCTCATCCAGATCGAAAATTCATTGGTAAACCATTGGATCAACTAAGAATTTACCACTTGCAACCAATTACTCTATCTTATGGGCATAACTTACATTAAGCAAACTTCCTAACCGAAAATCACTACCTCTTAGTTCATAGACAAATCCATTTACACAAGATCTATATCTCTTTTTCTTTTTTCGATGCAGGAGAACATTGAGACATGAATCCTTAAAACGTCTCTAATTTTGGCTGGTAAATTTCATTGTTTGGCTTGTGTTTATGTATCTCTTCTAGAGTTAGAAATAGGTAAGCATAGAATCATTTGCTTGATAATGATTCCTATGTGTAGTTCTTTTTGGTTGGCATCTAGGGCTTCTTCCTGCTAGTGGATGCATGTAACTGATAAAGAATGTCTTTTAGGCGGCCATAGGATTGTAAAGCGGTAGTAAAACAAAAAGGAATAGCCACAAGAATGGAACTCCTTCCATTGCTTGGGATGTTGGAAGGCAATAAAACATGTATAGTTTCAGGGCTCAAGTTTTTAGGTGCACTAGCTGATTTTTGTGTTTCATATTCTTGTAATCCTTCGTAACTGTGGTAGATTATCTCTCATTCATGAACATTAGCTGACTTTGTTCAATCCTATTAAAAATTTTTATTATTTGAATAGACATTGGTATTGGACACACTTTTCTAACTTTACAAGGATGACAGAGTGGAGGGTTTGACATAGTATCAATTTTAGTTATGCAATGGCCTCGATGTGTCATGAGTGGGGATGTGGCAAATATGAAGGTGTGTGGCTCTGGGGTGGTTTAGTGAAAAAGAGGGCGAGGACACTCCATTTTGTTGGACACATTGTGTCGTTTGGGTGTTGAATGCTTATATATTTGTCTTTGATTCATAACATTCCTGTGATTGCCCCAGTGAATGGTAAAGATTGAGTTTGTCATCTTTTCAATTTAGTGTTAATACACACATACACCCCAATGCAGACAGGATTGTTGAGTAGGAATAGAAATAGAGTGTATAAATTTGAATTGCAATTACTTCTATTTGCTTCTCAAGGTTTACTTTATTTGTAATTTCAGTCTTCTTTTAAGCTCAACAGCAATTTTATATTTGCTTTAAAGTTCGGAGATGTCAAGGCTTGTACTTAAAACTTTGTGCAGCTCATTCTGATACGACAATAGCAAGGATGTTGGTTGGAAACAAATGTGACTTGGAAACTATCAGGGATGTGAGTGTTGAAGAAGGCAAAAGCCTCGCTGAAGCGGAAGGGTTGTTCTTCATGGAGACATCTGCTTTAGATTCAACAAATGTCAAGAAGGCTTTCGAGATTGTTGTACAAGAGATTTACAACAATGTCAGTAGGAAGGTCCTCAACTTGGATACTTGCAAAGCTGAATTAACCATCAATCGGGTAACCCTTACTAAAAGTGAAACTGATGGATCAAAGCAAACCCAAATTTTTTCTTGCTGTTCCAGGTGATCTCTTTCATTCAGAAAGCGTACAAGTCAGGCCCTTCCCATGGTTTGTTAGTTCAATTTGGTTGGTTGATTTGTCTGTTTGCTAGTTTTCTCAATGCATATGTCTTCAGGGATTCATTTATCACTGAATAATATAATATTATATAGTTAAAGTTAAATTATTGTGTTCTGGCTATAGAAAATAAGACCTAAAATATTTTGCTTCTGGATACAAAGCTGTCCTGCTGAAAGTGAAACAGGCAGCCATGTTACTTCACATTGTATTACTATTTATTTTGAATTCGACATCTAGCTATCGGATTCATTATTTTTCATAGCCATCAATAGCATGTGATATCGATAAATCACTACTTTTAAAGCCGGTTTGCAGTATTCAGGGCCTTGGTTGATGTCTTGGAACTATGATCAATATTCCTTTGATATTTCTGAATGTTCTTTAGTTGTCATCACTAGAAATGTAGATTTGTTCTTGTGGCTGATCGAAGAGATATGCCTGCTCTAATCACGGACTATCAAATAAAGAAAAGAAAAGAGAGATGAAAGAAAGAAAACTCTCAATTGAATTTGATTCTTGGGTAGCTGAACTATCATTATATTAATACATAGTAACTTTCATGCTGGGACATGGTTAGTTTTTCTAATGTACAAATCATTGCAGGATTGAGTATATATATTAAGTTCATTTGGATTGCATGGTGGGAGAACTTCCACTGCATCCTGCATGTCGTTTTATTTATCGGACTTTTAGAGATGCAGTCACAAAACGCAGCTACGATGTAATGACGCAGTAAAAATTTGTCTGAAACGCGGTGGGAGTTCCTTTTGTTGGTGAATACCTAAGTTTTGATATTATTTGTTGGATTAAAAAATTTCAATTCAATCACATCAACGGAAGCGAAATTAAACAATAAATCAAACACATAAGAGACAATAATTTAACGTGATTCGATCTAATCAACTTACATCTACGGATGAAAAATAAGAGCTATTAGTTATAGAGAATTACAAACATACATCAAATCATCAATTTCACTCAATAATCAGTATTCATAAGACACTCTCAATCTCCTCTAGTTTTATGGAGTATTCTCAATCCAAACAAATACAAACTCAAATTCTTGTTCACCTTTTCAACATAACCAAACACATACTTACATGCTCTCGTATATCAATACTTTCAGTCTCTTCTAGTTTACTCACAAAGAAACATATACACCTATAAGACGTGCTCTTATATGTCATACTTATGTGGACCTTTTCAGTCTCCTCTAGTCCACTCACAGAGAAACATACATACCTATAAGAAGTATAATCCCGATACTCTTATGAAATATCTATCCCACAAAATCTTATAACTTTCTTATATTTTTTTCTCATACTTAACCCTATAGAGACTTTACTTATTTATAACTATATAAATTTACCTATTAAGAATCTCTCTCTTTTTAGAATTCTTCTCATGTAAGTCAAACTTACCTATTAAAAATATCTTTTATTTTAAAATTCTTTTCTTGCAAGTCAAACTTACCTATTAAAAATCTTTTTTCTTTTAAAATTTTTTTTTTACAAATTTTTTTATCCATCAAATAATAACTGATAAATCTTAAATAAATCTCTAATAAATTTTAAGTAAATTTTTTATGAGATTTGAGTTAATATTCGTAACACCTTTCACCGTGCAACCAAGGACCCTTTATCAGAGTACTTGCTGTGGTAATATTCCATTTTGCCTTCATAATTTTGGGCTAAAGTTTAGATTCCATAATTCATATTTTTGAGCGAAAACTTCAAATTTTGAATTGGCAGTGTTACTTCAATCCATAGTCTTGGAAACCATCGTGCTTGGTGGTTGGGAAAAAATAAGGCAGTTCAGTTGGTACTGGCAATTAATGCCTGTTAAACTTTATTTTCAGTATCATTTTCCTGCCATGGTTGGCCCATAATAAATCAATAAAGTGAAATTTTTGTACCTTATTAGATGGGACGATTTGATAATTTTAAATATAAGATATTTATATAATATTAAAATGATATTAAAAAAATATAAAAATAGCTTAGATTTAAATTTTAGTTAAAATTTATATGAGTTTAATAAAAATAAAAAATATATATTTTGTTTAATATATCCATAAAAATTATGATATCATAATTTTTATATTTTATATATATTTAATATAAAATAAACAAATATAAATGTTATTAGATATAGACATGATCACATGAATTTATACTCCAACCCCCAACCTTGCATTTTAATTTTTAATTTGATAAAGTCATGATCAAAACCAATCTCTCTCTTCCCTTCCTTTGGCTAGTTAAGTAGATCATGCAGTTGGATGGTAGGTTGGGGATGGTCAACTGTTGGGTGCAGTAGTTATAATTAATAATCCAATTCAAAAGAAAGGAAAAGGGTTACCCCTAGTACAATTTCCACCACCAACAACAAAGAGAAGGGAAAAAAACCCTTAAGAAATATACCAAAAGGGTCAGCAAAAATATAATATATAAAAGGAAACAAAAATTACCCAAAGAAAAAAAAAGATTACAAAAATCATGTTAAAAAAAAATAGACTCAACTAAGAAAAGCTGACCCCATCAATCATCATGATGACTTTGGTGATAAACTATATATACTCTCCCCCAGCTGCATTTTGAACCTTCTAGAAGCTTTTTGCTCTAATGAGTAGGAAATCTTTCATTTTCAGCTCCTGTCTGACTGCTCTCTAATGGATGGAGATAGTGACTGATAGAGATAGAGATAATGGTGGTGCCTCTTATTTTTTTTAGCAGTAGAATTTTTGGGATGATGTCATTGTTGGTAAAAGCCATTTCAATCCCACTCAATGAGATTTCCAGTGCTTAGCCATTTCAAAACCATTTTTGCTGTAGTGATAGTCTTCAATAGTTTGATCAATCTCAGCTTGTGTGTTCATCACAAAAGGCCCATACTGAACCACTGGTTCATTAAGTGGCTGACCAGCAACCAGCACAAATCTCAATGGCTTTGAGGACTTGTTCCACACACTTACACCATCTCCAGGACCGAAAACAACCACATGGTTGGCTGATATGGGTGTTTTGTTTTGGTAGCCAAAGACTCCTTCACCTTCAACTATGTATGCAAAGGCATTCCATGATTCTGGAATGTGTTGATGAACTTGAGCTCTTGCCCTTAAACTAAAATCCAGGTACATTGTTGGAGTTCTGGTGTAAACTGGAGATCGAACTCCCATTGATTCTCCAGCTATGACTCTAACTTCTGCTCCATCTTGTTCTGCACTTGGAATGTCCTCACTCAAAAGCTCCTGATACCTTGGTTCAATCCTGCCAGGTTTTTCATTTGTCATCTTTCTTGGATATGTCAAACATGCAATTCAAAGTTACTTCCTTGACTTGTGAACTATTACAAATAGTCTGGGATTTTGCTAAACAGGAAATATTCTAGAAGATCTTATGAATTCACATGAGTTTGACAGACAGATATGGGTTAACAATAGTGCAATCTGAAAACTTTTCCACTTTTCCACAAAAAAACAAAAGAACTCATTCTTCTTATCAAATTGTTTTTAGCCTCATAAATTATTTTAAAATCCATTGCTCCACAAACTATATGTAGATAAAATACAACTAATATTTGTATATTATATTAATTAAAACATTTTTTTAATGGGAAAATATTATCTTACCATCCTTTCTTTATCCCCAGGTACTACTAATACAGATTAATTAGCTAAAAATAGTTGGCATAAATCTGAAGGATATTCAAATAAAGAATGACCAAGAGTTTTCAAAGTCAAAGGGGGCTTGAAATATGGTGAATTTTCATACTGGCTCACATAATCCATGGTTGTGTATGAAAAGAAACAGAAAAGTAAACTCAAAAGTTTCTTACATTTTGTCTTGAGAAGACAGATTGATCCAAAGCTGCAATCCCTTGTGGACACCTTCTCCAGCAGGCATTTCAGAGTGGATAATCCCTCTTCCAGCTGTCATCCACTGCTCAATACAAGGAAAACAAACCCAGAAATAGAAGAAAAAAAATGAATGAAAACCCAGAAATAGGATCAGATCTGTCATGCGGACTTTAATCATTCAAAGAAGAAAATTTTAACCTGTACATCACCAGTGTGAATTGTACCCTTATGCCCTGCAAAGTCTTGATGAGTGATACTCCCCTGAAAATCCAGAAAAGCCCCAAATGGTAGTTCTTTCTTAATAAACCTTTCAAGCTTCAAGGACCAAGCTTTGATCAAGAATGTATGTTTTACAAAAATAATGAAACAAGAATTATACCTGTAGCATGTATGTAACAGTTTCAAACCCTGTAAAAACACAACTTTTACATCAGAAGAATATGACAGAAACATTAAAAATATAGTCCTTCTATTGGATTTTAAGAAATTCAAGAACCTCTATGAGGATGATCAGGAAATCCAGCCGGAGGAGACACTGCAAAATTATTAATACAACAATAAGAATTGACCAAAAAAAAAAAAATAAAATAAATTCAAAGAAGCAGACCAGGCTACGGTAAACGAGTAATGAACCCATACCAGAAAAATCATCCATCATGAGAAAAGGATCCAAAGACTTCAATTCAGTCCTGAAATCAGATACAAAGAAACAAAAAAATGAATCAAAAAAAAAAAAAAAAAAAACAACCCAGACAGGCCAAAGTCAAAGACAAAGAAAAAGCTTTTAATAAACCTTCCAATGCATCTCCTGACAACAGCACCATCACCCTCACGTTGATGCTTGGCAAGAACCTTCTTAATCACCAATCTTGGTGCAGAGAAAGAGGTTGGATCAGTTTCAGACATAATGTTCCTGAAAATGATTCTGTTTCTGTTAGATGTAATTGATATCTGAAACGATTGTAACACAGCAGGCAGCAACCTATGACTTGTTCTAGCACTAACAACAGCAGCTCTCATATAAAAACCTTGTATGTAAGATTTTAATCCTGAACTTGGGTTTATATATATAAGTGCTGAGACTGGAAGATGGGACAAAAAAAAATGTGAAAAACATAGAATAAAAAAAAGTAGAAAGTTCTGTTTTTAGGATTGGTTGGAGGTTGTGACATAAGGGGGCAGTTGAACGGTGGCGTGGGGAAATATTTGGGGTGGGACCCATTTATTCCTTTCCTTGGACCAATCATCATCATGATGTCAAGATTTTGTCATCATCATGGGGCCTTTCCCTCCCTCTCTTTCTCGCTTCAATCATAGCATTAGAAGAATTTTTTTACGAAAGAAAAGATTATAATTATTGATATTTGAATTTATGTATATTGAATGTTATAAATTAATTAAATTAAATTTTAATAAATTTCTTAATAAAGAGACAATGAATTTTTGAAAAAAAATGAATAAAAAAATTTCAATTATGACTCTTATCATCTTATTTTATATATTCTCTATTGATTTTTAAGTCTAATGAATTCAATTTTAGTCATTATTTTTTAAAATATTATATTAAAATAAAATTTTTATAAATATATTTTAAAATTTTTAAAATTCAAACTTTACAAATTTTATTTTTAATTTTTTAATTTTATGATCTAATTAAAAATGATGAATAAAGTTGGTTTATTTGAAAAAAAAAAAACCTAAATAAAAAGCATAAGAAATAAAAGAGGAAATACTTAAAAATAAATTGAACAATTCATGAATTTTTATTGTGTAAAGTATTAAAATTTATATGTTTATATTATATTTCACACGAAAATTATGTGTTATCATTCACGTCAAAATAAAAATATAAAATATGTGTGTTAAATTTATATATGATTATTATTAAAAATTTAAATCATATTATTTTCGTATTTTATTTTTTATTGTATTCTTATGGTGTTCAAATTATTAAATCTAATTTAAAAAGGTCTAATGCTTTTGAATTTTGGTGTTGAAACCCTAATTTTTTTTGTAGAACCATAAGCCGAAAAAGTAGATCATGCTTTCCTTTCTTTAATCTTATAATAATAATAATAATAATAATAATAATAATAATAATAATGTTAAATGACATCTTTCACGCCTCTGCATTGCGTTTGCATTTTTTATTCGAAGAACAAAAGGGGGTCAGATTTTGTCGGTAGGAGATGAGGCTCACAAAGTTTTTTTCTTTGTAGGATAATGATAAATTTGGAGTTTTGTATTATGAAAATAAAGAAAGTTGCAATTCTAATTTAAACTTTTTACTCGAATTGGACCTTATTTTATCATTATTATGGGATGGTCGGCAGCTTTGGTGTTAAGAGCAAATAATGGCAAACCAAGAATAATAACAGAGCCATCATCTGCTTGGGACAGATTTCGTCACTGAAATGTAAGTTTTGAAGCATTTTTGGCGACCTTCAAATGTTGAATGTGTGGTCAGCAAATAACAACTGATGGCTTTGGCGGGGGTGGCCATTTGTCTTTCTGAATCAGTACGCGGGGAAGAAAATGGCTGCTCTTATTCCTCGTTCAAGGATAAGCTTATCCATCATTGATGAGAATTTATAATAATAATAAAATTTATTGTAAGTATAATTTTAAATTTTATTTAAATTTTGAACCGAATTTTGAATAAAGAAATTAAAGCTTCCGTCAAATCCTTATAAAATATATATAATTAAAATATTAAAATTATATAAATATATATGTATTTTTTATTTTTTAAAAAATTAATTTTTATTATATAAATTAAATTTAATGAAAGATTTTAAAATTTATTTTTTTAATTTAAATTGAATTTTAAAAAAATTTAAAATAAAAAATATTAAATCAAATCAGATCTAAAAAATACAAACAACCTGAGCAGGAATTCCTCTATTTGCTCCCTCCTTATTAAAAAATATTCTCACTTTTTAAAATATTTTCTTTAAGCATTTTAAATTTTAAATAAAAAAAATTTTTTTAAAAAATAACATTTATATCATCCAAAGCTCTGCGTCATTGTGATATAACTCAATTGCGTCCTTTGACTTGCTAAAAAAATGTGAGTAAGCCGTTGTTTGGTTGATAAAAGCAAAATAAATAGCAAAAGCATCAATTAAACAGAGACTGGCTTCTCAAACATATCACCTTTATGCTAAAAAAAAAAAAAAACTCACAGTTTCAGTATGGGGGAAGGAGGATACGAATTCTAAACCCATGGAATGCTACCTTTTAAAATTGACTGCATAAATTAACTAAACTAAACTCCGGATTCTATCCTAATCTACAATATGTTAACAAAAGTTTTCATAATGAGGAATGACTATTAGAAAGCTAATGCAATCAAAATGGAAAGTTAAAGAGAAAGAGGGTTGGGGGGGAATCATTCATAAATCTTAAGGTCATTGATTCTAGGCTTAATTTTACATTCGATCAGCATCAATCAAGACTCAAGCACATTAACTTGAAGAAGATGTAGTGGAGAACTCCACAATTACCCTTTGGAAGGGCATTTTTCTAATGGGATTTACATCAGCAATGATAGAATTTCATGAGCAAATTTAACACTCAATCTTCCACATAATCATTATAAGCAAATCAGGTATCTAGTTTTCAGTCACTGAGCTTTAAAAAAAGAACCCAATAACCTGATATGGTCAAGAGGTAGATACATTCTATTTCTTTTTTGTTGAAATTATGCATAAATAGATTTGAATATCTTTCCATGTATACACTACAAATCACTGCAATTGAAAAAGGAACGCATGAATCTCCCCTTGACATTAGTTTTGAAGAAAAAGAGACCTACACATGGCCTGAACCAATGGTCACATAAGTCAACTTCTAGAATAATTTGGTGGTGATTCCACTGAAGATGATAGTGGGAGCTGTTGACTTCTCTGCCATGACTTTCATGTAATTCTTCAGATTCTTGAATTCATCGGATTTATATCATTTGGATATCAGGGAGATGATACAGCCGAGAGTCGTCACCCCTGGCCTAATTTCCATCTAGATTCTCTTGGATTATGATTTATGATTAGAGACTTTGAGGCTTAGGGAAGAAACATGAAAATGGATCAAGCAGACTATGAAAGTGAAATCCATGAAAGAGAGACCACGGAAAATAAATTTGCATAAGCAAAGCATGGCAAGGAAAATGATGTAACCTAATCTTTTTTTTTAAACAAAAATGCAGGATACATGCACAAAACAGATCAAAATTTTTTATCAATCTAACTGTTCTCTATCTCCAACCAATTCAACACTTTGGCCCTTAAATTCATGGCCATTTGGAATTGGACCATAAAGACAGATGCGCAGATCACCTTGAACTACTTGCTGGTGAAAGTAGTTCTTGTACAAGTCCCAGAACTCATCTCTGCCAATTAAACAAAACATAAATGAGTCAAGCATGGGTCAATCTCAAGTCCATGTAGGGACTTGGTGTCAAAATGTAGCATGGAAGTTGAGGGTGGGGAAACAAACACATGCCTACACACCAATTGCAAAAGACAAGCGATAACTATATCTAGATAAACACAGATAAAAATGAAACTTAACAGTGAGGAAGACAATGATAACTTATAAGTCAGCTCATAAACAAACCTGACTTGAGGAAGTGTAAGCAAGGAATAGCCCTTGACATCTGTGTGAATATCAAGCAGAATCACTGATAAACGTGAAAGCCCCAATGCTTCAATGTCAATTAACTTTTTAATTCTGCAATTCAGATTACAAGAGAACAGGAAAACCATGATTCAATCGGTAATGGGATATTGCCACATCACACTGCCAACCCAAATCAAGAAAAGATCATGATAGAAATCTGTAATTAACTAATGATTTACCATTTTGTTTAGCCTATGATTAGTAAATATATTTAGCTGTATCTTTGGCATGTAATTCATGATCTGACATATAGAAGATCTATAAAACATTTTCTGATTATTCTATGCTACCATAAAATGGCTTAGGCAATGAGAACCTTTTTTATGATAAATAAAAGTACCCTTTTCCTTTTTTATCCACTATTTTGATCAAATTTATCATTTTTACCTACTTCACGCTTCTACAATTTAACAAATATATGATTTTCTTATGTTGGATGATATATGCTTTTCTGTTTATCCATGCAGACAATATTACTAGCATTAATTGACATAAAATTTTGAACTACAACAACTTAAAATTATTTAACCATAAATTTGACCGATTTCACATTTTACTTCAAATACACAACTTCAGAAACATTATTATCGTTTCATTAATCACACTAAATAATAACATGTTAGTTATTCACTTAACATGATTCACATAAAAATTAATAATTAAGATAAAAGTATTAAGCTTTCTCCGCACAGTCATTCCTTGACAAGGGAAGATACATGAGGAAAGACCTAAATGCAACAGACTGATGAAGGGTCTTTTACAAGGGGGTACTAGGAGTTAATCTGAAATGAAATTATTTGAATAAGTAAACCATTGAAGAGGTATGTCATCTGAACCCAAGTAGAAAGTACCATCCGGTATAATTTGCAAAACAAGTTTAAGGGGAAAAAAATAATATGTTAACACAACAGTATAGAAATTGAATTCATTATTCAGAAAATCAATCTTACCAATTAATTTCAACATATTTAGCACTTCATCTTCTAACCGTTCATCCTTTAATTATGGGGCAGGTTAATTTAATCCATCAAAAAGCAGCAGACAACAAATAATGCCTTTTCCACTATGTGAAGTCAACTATAAGGATGATTTATGTCATTTAGGATCATATCTTGAGAATAAAAGGCGTGTTCCATCCATATCTTCTTGTCTCCATTTCCCATTTTGACATTGTCATCCTCCATTAAATTGCATCTTCTTACAAAGATCATTTGCAGGGATGTGTCTCACATGTCCAAACCAACTTAATTCTATCTCCTTCATTCTTCTCTCAGTTGGCACTATGCCAACTTTTCCTGGATGCACTTGTATCTAATGTTAACTTTCCTATATTACCACATCCACCATAATATTCACATTTTAACCACACCAATCTTCTGCATATGTATCTAGCTGTCCAACACTCAATGCCACGAAGCATCAGAAGGTTATCCTTGCTCTAAGAAAAACAGTCAATTTGCGGTGTCTCTTGCACATAATTTTACTTGCAATTCAAGTACTCATAACTCCTCATATAGATCACTACTCCACAATGCATGTCTTTAATAGCTTGAATATATGCAATGTCGAATTACACACTCCTTTCCTGTCAAGGCCATCCAAAGGACTTTTCTAAGGAGCCAAGGACCTTAACATAAGCTTTTTCCAGATCAATAAGCATTATATATCAGTCTCCTCAGTAACTGGTATATAGCCCTTAAAAAATAAATAACTTCCACGATGTAAAACCAAATTGACTTTCTGATGCACAAGTCTTATAAAACTCAATGTTTGCATGATAGCTCTTTCCCATGATTTTTACCCACAACTCATCAATTTAATACCTCTATAAGAACACAACTTTCTACTCCTTTTGTTCTTATGTATAAATAAGTGATCTTCTCCACCCACCAGTTTAATTTAATCTGATTAAGTTAAATTATATAATTACCCAAAAGGACCTTCATGTTTAACTTTCATCACGAGATGACTTTCTCAAAGTTGTCCTAGCAAAACTACTAGATTTTGGCCTTTTTAGTGATAACTGCTAGTTAATTTGATCGCAAGGATTGATGACTAACCTAGTTGGTGTACCACTAGCAATATTAACTCGGTGCTTCAATAAAGATACCTGTAACAACCAAAAATGAAGCAAAATAAGCACAAGCAAACTAAGAAATAGGGCCTTTATGTAATACGTGCCAACTAACCAGAGGCATTGTAATAAAGCTAGACCAGTTAATTAACAAGCCACCACATCAATTTGAATAAACAAAAATTGTTTAATTCCTTTAATTCAACACAGGTAAACAACATAATGGCACTATATAGAATCAGCAACAAGTCCATGGTACCATATCCAGATGACATATATTAAACTTCATTTCTTTAATTAATCAATCAAGGGGAATCATTTACTTCACATCTACCAAACCGCCCCAGTTGGACTCCATAAAGCTTAGCTGTGTCCTAAAATATTTCAGGAAACAACGTATTCTAGTAAAAACGAAGATGACATTAGATTCAGAACATGGAACATCCAAGTCTCAGACACAGAATAATAAATGATGAAAAATTTTCCATGTTCAATATTTGACATCAAGAATAAGGCATCCTAAAGCTATTTTTATGCAGCAAAGCTAGTGGGGGGCTACAGACGTGAAAACTTCATCACATTACTAAAGGGAGCCTTTCATCAGAAAATAATTTCAGGTTTGATACCAATTGGGGAGCCTCTCACATCTCCCCATCCCATGCTATCAAACACACTTCAAACCAACTAGTAACATTACAGGCTACGACAGACTCTGCAAACTAAATACAAAAAAACTGAAAGAATTTGGTATCAAACAAATAGCAGAATGATATTAAGCAGAGCTATTCCCTCCAACAATCAATTCACCCACAGCAGAATCCTAGCACCTCTTAATAATTGTCTTCGATGCTTGAGATCACAAGATGGCTGCCACCAAATTATCAATCATATCGTGGGGAGCTAGGCCATAGCATCGGAATCCAGTCACACATGAATATCATTCCCATACCCATGTAATATCATGTCAAAACAGGAACATCAGCTAAAAGCGTGCAAACAGTGTAATAAAGATTAATAAAACCTTCTTATGTCTTCAAGCTTCTATTTTGGTTAAAAAAAAATTTTAAGTGAATTTCCATAACTTATATCTTGAATCCCAAGTTCTAGGGCACGGGCATGTAGCTTCTTTCTTCTTCCTTTAATTCAACTCTATTTTAGATTGGAAATCAACCCTAAATCAAACCCTTTAAACGCTAGAGTAGTAATTTATCTGACCCACCAGCACAAATCTAAATCTTCAATATAAACTATACTGCATTTGTTGAAGTTTATCTTTTATAAATGACTATCCAGTCCACCAATGGTCAATTACATTCTAAGCGACAAAAGAACAAAACATTTTAGGCATAGCACAATCACACAAAATACAAGCCTCTCAGCACCATAGATTCCATCCCATCTACAAACTAACATAATGAACAAGAATCATTCAAAATTTGAGACTCAAAGTATAGTAAAACTACCTGTTCATCAATTTTCATGTGCTTTGAAAATAGCTTTACAGCACGACATTCTTTAGTCAATGAGCGCATGCCCCTAGAGGAACAGAACAAAATTTTCAGTTCCTTTCTAGCTAGAATCTAAAATGAATCAAAATTTAAAACATTTTCTTGAATATGCAATCCTAGAAACAGGGAATCACAATTTGCAAGTTCTAATTATTTCCTCTTCTTTTCACTTCTCCCCATTTTGCTATCCAAACCAAAGAAACCATTAAATTTATTTTCTCTCCAACTCTCAATCAAACGAAAGAAACCCTTAAATTTCTTTTTTTTTCTCCAACTCTCAATCCAAATGAATGTTAACCAATGGCTCTATCAAACATAACTGTGATTTCTTTTTTTCGCTCTCGGAAACAAATGAAAAGTAACAAGGAAACCGAGGCTAACAAACCTTAAAAGTTCAATAGATCGTAACGCTGAAGTAGCAACAACAAGAACTGCAGGACTTCCTGCTTCAATCTTCCCTTCAATAAGCTTCCCTTCACAAAGCTCTTCTTTCCATCTGGCCGCAAAAGCTTCCCTTATATGTTTCTCTAGCCTCATTACATCTTGACCCAACTCTTCAGAAACATCCAATATATAACTATCTACACAAAAATGCAAAGAAAAAAAAAACTCCAATGACCATCTTTAAGTTTTAATAATCACCGATTAATAAATTTTAATTTTACCTTTAATTGATTCCAATTCAAGAGAAGAGAGTTTGACCCCATTGGCGGATTGAAACTGACTAACAAAATAACCCAGTTGCTGGGACGTTGATACCGGTGGGTTATCGTTGTTGTTGCCGGTTCCAGTAGTCGTTTTGTTTTTGGTTTTGATTTCGTTGGTGTCGTTTTGGGGGTTGTTGTTGCTCTTCGTCTTCTTCTTAAACTTGGATTTGGGTTTTTTAGGGCGAAGGAGTTTTGCGTTGGGTTTAGGGTTTTGGCGAGGTTTATGTTTCCCGCTCCCCATTTCCCTACCTTCGGCTTTTCATCCCACAATTGCTTAAGCTAGGTTTTTAAACGTTAAACACTAACCGCTATCGCAATGCTTAAGATAGGTTTAACGAGGCTCGGCCTTTCAAAAGGCCTGCTCCAGACCCGGCCCGTCGGGCTTGAAGATCCGAAATTCTTTTAAATATAGAGTTCTACGTAATTTCATATCTAAATTATATTATTTACATAAGTTAGTATTTATAAAAAAAAATTACGATTTGACTCTTAATTTTATTTTATTAAAAATTTTGTATCATTGAATAGCATCTATGCTCAGAAATGATAACAGGTTAAGTCATAATAAATTTTTATTTATCTTAAATTTGATTCGATTTTATATTTATAATATTTAAATTGACTTAATTTGATATTTTTTTATTTTTTTATATATAAATTTGATTTAATTTAAAATTAATAAAATATTATTTTTTAAATATAAATATAAAATTAAATAATTAATTTTGAATTTATTTAAAATTTGATCTCAATTATTTTTATTATTTAATTTGACTCAAATTTCAATCTTTAAAATATAAAAATTAACTCTAAAAAATCAAATCGAATAAAAAATTATCGAGAGTGAAATGAACTACTTATGAATCTAAGCAATGATGTTAAAGTTGGAGAAACATATTTTCATATGTAATTCTTTTTTAAAAAATGATCAGAAATTTAAGTCGTTTGAAAATTACTATTAACTCAATCTCATGTGGCTAATATTTGCGTTTGAGAAGATCTATTCTATCATATCAATAAGGAGTTAAAAAATACTAATATTTAATATAAAAATTATAGTTTCTGCTCATCTTTTCTTCTTGTTTTTTTGGCGAAATTCCCATAATGCAGGACACGTTCCGTGAGACAAAATCCTATTCTACTGTTGTGCACTGAGGCATGCTTTACCTGTTTGTTTCATCTTGATTAGGTTTGTGATGGTTGCTCTCATGCCAAAAAAAAAAAAAGGAAAAAAATTTCTTATTCTTCCATTGATGTATTTAAGAGTATTAACCATGCAAGGAGCCAGGGGCCTTGTTAGTGTTACCTGATTACAAATAATGTGACAGGAACCCATCTATGCCACTATTCTTGTACCTTTCCCATTTGAACCAACTATTTTCTTTAGTCTCACCTAACTCTGCACTGCCGGTTTCCACCTTTGTCAAGTTACCTAGCCACGTAGCCAATTTCATCCTAAATTTTAAATTCTAAATTCTAATCTTATTATTAAAAAAAAAAAAATTAAATTTTAAATATGTTACATTTTATTTTTTAAAAATAATAGTACGAATCAATTTAGCTAAGTATAGGTTTGATTTTTTAATATTTTTTATAAAAATATAAATAATATATTAATATTCATAAATTATTTAAATTAAATTAGAATATAATTTGAATTCGACTTAATTATTATCAGATCGAGTTCGAGTTTGAATAATTCGATTTATTAATTGAATTAAATTTAAGTATTTTTATATCCAACTTAATTAGCTCATGAATCTAAATAAATTTTTATATTTTAATATATTTTAATTAATAAAATATATTAAATTTGAGTTCGAATTTAAATATAAATAATTAATTTTTTATCTAATATAAAAATTAAATTTATTTTTACATATTAATCGAAGCTAATCGAATAAATTTAAATAATTTAATTCTTATTTTTAGTTAAATTTAAATTAAAAAAAAATTTCGATTAAACTCTAATCAAATTTTGAATTTTAAATTTAGAGTGAAACTTAAATTTAAATTTAATTTTACATTAACTTAAACTGAATAGATTAATACCTAATAAGTATATTGACTTTTTTGAGCTTGCATAATTATGATTATTTTTTAAAAATAAATTATATTAACATTTTAAAATAAAAATTAAATAAAAATTTTAATTAATAAAATAATATTTTATTTAGATTGGGTTGGACTTCAAAAATTATTTCTAAAGTTGGACTTAAACAACCAAATATGGAAGTTTTGGATTTGAAACAATCTTTTTTTTAATTTCTTTAAATGTTATCATTCAATGAGGATATATATCAACATCAAACTCCAAGATAATTATCCACATTAAAAATTAAAATAATATTTCTTATAATAAATAATACAACTGGTAATAATAATTTTCTTTTAAATAAACGAATAAAAAACAAAGCTTAATTAATTAAATAATTTGATTGGATTAAAAAAATGGCAGAAATGCGCGGGTCCCACTCCGCCAAAGGCAAAATCCTCTCAGCTCTTGCAGATTTGACAATGGGCGTTTTTAAAGCAAATTTCCATTTGTTCTTCTTTTTTAATTTTTTCAATACGAAAAAAAGAACTGAGAATCCCAAAAAAAAAAAAAAAAAGAAATTCAAGAGACAAACGAAGTAGAGAAAAAGATTAATAGTTTCTACTTCCATTAAAGCTTTAACTATGTTTCTTCGGATCAGTTCTTACTATTCTCTGCTACTAATTACGTTTCTCGTAGTTTCTTCTGCTATAAGCAGCGCTTTCAGTTGGGGCGTTTTTAACGTCAAGTACAAGTTCGCCGGCCGTCAGCGTTCTCTTTTTGACTTGAGAGACCACGATAGCCGCCGTCAACTTCGAATTCTCGCCGGCGTTGATCTCCCCTTGGGTGGTTCTGGTCGACCCGATGGACTTGGGTTAGTTCTTCTTCCTCTTTTGAACTTGCTAAGTTTTTACAAGAGTCAAATTTTTTTTCAACAAAAGTTTGTGTTTTTGAATTTTTTGAGTTCTTTTGTAGACTTTATTATGCAAAAATAGGGATAGGAACGCCTTCGAAGGATTACTATGTGCAAGTAGACACAGGAAGCGATCTAATGTGGGTTAATTGTATTCAGTGTAAAGAATGCCCCAAAAGGAGCTCCCTTGGTGTAAGTCTTCCCCTTTTTTTTTTTTTTTTAATCTTTAGGCTTTGTTTGGTTGTTAATTATATTAATTATTGTTTGCTGGTTTTTTTTTTTTTTGGTACAAAAGGCGGCCGTAGTGTGTGTGATATGCGAAAGGTTTTCAGGTGCTAGGTTTGCTAGTTTTTTAATATTTGATTTGTAAAAAAAAAAAAAAAGAAATTTGTAGACTAAAAAGTAGTAATAGAAAGTAAAATTGTAGTAATAACTGATTAAAATTGAGCAAATGGTTAAAGCACAACATCGATTTTAGTATTACTTTTCTATATAAAAGTAACATAGGTCTTTAAAATAGTTATTTGTTTTTACATTCAAAATGCTAAATGCAAAAAGTAAATGTAACAATGGAATACAAACTGAAAAATGTGTTTTTTTTTATCCAACAAATTATGCACTTTTAATGTTCAATTTGTCAAATATATATATATATATATGTTTTGCTTTTACAGGCAAAAGCATTATTTAGATAATAACCAAAAGAGAATCTTAGATTCTTGGTATCTTTAATCTTATTTGATCGTGTTTGTTTTATTTATATGCCATGGTTACAGATAGATCTTACTTTATACAATATTAAGGACTCTGCCACTGGCAAGTTGGTTTCATGTGATCAATATCGTGTTTGTTTTATTTATATGCTATGGTTACAGATAGATCTTACTTTATACAATATTAAGGACTCTGCCACTGGCAAGTTGGTTTCATGTGATCAAGAGTTTTGTTATGCCATTAATGGAGGTCCATTGGTTGGTTGTATGGCTAATCAGTCCTGTCCGTATCTTGAGATATATGGAGATGGGAGCTCCACTGCAGGATACTTTGTAGAAGACATTGTACTATATGATCGAGTGTCTGGCGATCTTGAAACCTCGTCTGCAAATGGAAGTGTTATATTTGGGTGAGTTGTCAATCCTTCTGTTGCTCTTCTCTAATTCATACTTGTAACACATATGACTATCTGTTAGCTTTTAAATTCTGAACTTGTAACTGTCTATCTATGCACTTTTTTGCTAAATGTTCTAACTTGCATGTGTAACTACTGCTGATGTTATCGCAAGTAAATCTGTTCTAACTTTTTTGAATTCAGAAATTCTTGTTTTTCCACTGTAGATGGCAGTACATGATAGGTTTCTAGATTGTAAGAATTATTTGCAAATTATTCTGACAATAGAAAAAGTTTTCAAAAGATTCAAGCCAAGTTCTTTCGTGGCTCCACATACTTTCTTGATTAGTTTGTTTTATGATTCTTTGCACTGTAAATTTTGAATGTCATTGTGAAGTTGATATCTAGCTTATTATTTAACACATACAAGCATACCTTTTGTGCCTGCCCTTCTCTTCCTTTCTTCCCCTTCTCCTCCCTTCTGTTATAGGATTGATGATGGGTTATGAATGAGACAGAAAGCCATTCTCTGTCAACAGGTTACCGTTTAATGGCTAAGATGCATCATCTATCCATCTTTATTTTGTTTGAAAAATGGGCTTCAAATAAATCACTTTTAAGTATTTGATATGATTTTAGATGATATATTCATGATGAGAAGGTATTGTCTAGGGTATGTAATGTTTGTATTGTTTAGTTTTCACACAACAGTTATTATTGACCATTGACTGAATTAAGTTTTAATTAGTTGAAGTTTGTTGGAACATTAAGAAGTTGCATCAAATATCCCTTTTAGGGTTCTTTGAAATTACATTAGGAGATTACTTTGTGTCTCGAACATGCCTGGGCTTAATGAATGTTTGCTTTTGCATGTATAACTTATGCATACTTGTGTCTGTAAAGTATGTGCTCATAACATGTGTGTGCATTTGCTGTTTGCTTGTGCTTCTTTTTGGTCGTATTATATGGTTATTTTAGCTTTTTTTTTTCATAGGTGTGGTGCTACACAATCAGGGAATCTAGATTCATCTAATGAAGAAGCACTTGATGGAATACTTGGTTTTGGAAAATCTAATTCATCAATGATTTCCCAGCTTGCTTCATCTGGAAATGTGAAAAAGATATTTGCTCACTGTTTAGATGGGGTTAATGGAGGCGGTATCTTTGCTATTGGGCATGTTGTGCAACCAAAAGTTAACATGACTCCATTGGTATCAAATCAGTATGTTACATCTTTGGTGAATATCATTGCTAGTTTTTTCCATCACAGTTTCCACTTATTACTTGCTTATATATTACTTGTATTAATTTGGTTTATTTTAGTATTATGTGTTTTAAAATTACATTACTTTTGAAGGAAAGCATCACACTTCAGGGGGAATCATGATTGTTTTCTGAACGGACTGAATGACAATCATGTGCTGCTAATTATTTTTTGTTTTGGCCCATGGATTATTTGTGTTTACAGTACATGGGCTTGTAGGGCTAGCTGAAGGCTTAAGCGTTAACTTGCCCGAAATGATTTGAATAATCATCAGTAGTAGTTTTCATCACCCAGATTGTGGTGGTTTGACTGAGGAAGATTGCTCCATTTTGTTAGCAGCCACTTCGAAAAAAGGAGAGTGACTAGTGAGGAAACGAACTTCATTTTGTACAGGTTGATTATGGTTAATTCAGCTGATGTTATAGTTTATAGCAAGCTCCATTGCATGATAACGGTCAATGGAGAATCACTGAAAAATATAAAAATTATTATTCTTAGTGTCTTTTTCTGAGCTATTCATGATGATTCACTATGATAATAGGAGCTTCAAAACTATGTGGTTCCAAGTGGTCATTCCAGAATTTGATTTTTAAGTTAGCAAAGATTGAAAATTTTGTAGCTGCTGGATTACATGTAGTGGTTTCTAAGGTTTTGTGATGAGGGATTAGGAAGAGAAAATATAGGACAATTGGGTAAGGAAAAGTTGAAGAGATGAGATGAATGAGTACTGAATAAGTATGTTGTACGGAACATAATTGAAGTGAATAAAATCTGGTATGAAATGCTGTGTGAAATTGTCATTCACTACATTTTCTGTTGTCTCCGTCTGAAGAAATTTCTTTATGGCTTGAAGCCATTGTTTAGCTCATAATTGACAGCAACGAATTGGTACAGACTGGATCAGAGACTAGCTTCATTATGATACATTATTATTCAACTCATTTTCATGATTTCCTTTTGAGTTCATTCTAATTAACATTTAGTGTATGAATACACAATTCCATATATTGAACTCAGTCTTGTCATATAAAATTTCAGGCCACATTACAATGTCAATATGACGGCAATTCAAGTTGGTCATGATTTCCTAAATTTTACGGCAGATTTATTCGAGTCAGGAGACCGAAAAGGGACAATAATAGACAGTGGAACAACCTTGGCATATCTACCAGAAATGGTTTATGAGCCATTCGTAAGTAAGGTATGTGATATAAAATTGGTTTCTTCTTCTAGAGAATTTCACGTCAGTCCGCTAAAGTTTTATGTTTTTCTTTTTTATCTTTGTTTAGATATTTTCTCAGCATCCTTATTTGAAGCTTCAAACTGTTCAGGATGATTATACATGTTTTCAGTACTCTGAAAGGTATGAAGCATAGGATGTAGCAATTGTGACCTTTGAGCACCTATTTACATCCCCTTCTTGTCGATGCTTTGAAACTGTTTGTCATGTTTAATTTTGGATATTATTCATTTTTTCATATCTTAAATGCCTTTATTTATTACATATTATTAGCATGTTTCTTGATGCCATTAGTACACTTTTTAATGGCTGATGATTTAATTCGTCATTCTAGCTGTATAATTCTTGATGATGCTGGTAGTTGTACTTGATTCCTTTTTCTCCAAATGTTCTGAATAGTCTTTTGTCACTATTGTTCTCTGCTTCCTTTGGTTAGATTATCTTGACTAAGTGACTGCTATATTTGGTGTTATATGCTACACCTTATTTTGATATTAATTCAGATTATATATTTCTTTTGTTGCAGTCTAGATGAGGGATTTCCAAATGTGACTTTCCATTTTGAAAACTCAGTTATTCTGAAAGTTTATCCTCATGAGTACCTATTCCCCTTTGTAAGTATGTTTAGCTAGACAAATTTAGAATCTGATCAAATATCTATTTTTCTTGAAAGATTAAATTTAGCTGCCTTGTCCACAGTTCCCTATCTTTTCTTGTTAAACTTGTCAGTGTCACTTATGAAAGTGTCTCTTCTTTAAGAGAAGTCCACATGGAAACAGTTTACCAGCCTATTGATTCAGGTCCATCCTTAGTGCTGTGCAGGGACATTCCCCCTTGTAAGTATTGGGTGGGTTCAACCCAGGCCAACAGCAAAAAGCGGCTGTCCCCCCTCCCATCTGTGTTGAACTGAAAATTATTTTCTATATAGACCACTGAATTTTTTATAATTAATGGTGACAATCTCTTAATGTTCTGTTGAAATAAATATTTGTAACTCCATTCTGTTTGTCAATGCATAATAATTGTGCAACAAAGTTGTTAAAGAACACATGCATTACTCTTCCTGGTCTAATTTTAATTTTGGAACCTAAAATGTTTTTATTTTGCTATTATTTATGGGCCCCTTGTGTGACATTTGCCTTGTCTGAGTCTTGCATGATTTGGCACAGTAACTATTAGATTAGGTTGAATGAACTTTAAAAAGGTTTTATTTTGTGAGCTGTGGATGTTTCTGAACGCAGAAGCAGAACTATAATTTTAACAACTACTTCATGTTAGGATTGTTTTTGCCATGTAGTTGAGTCTATAGCATCTTACTGGTTCTTCAGAGTATTATAAGCAAGTAGTGTTTGCATAAATTGATTGTTACAAGTCATTTTGTGCAGAATGGTTTGTGGTGCATTGGATGGCAAAACAGCGGAATGCAATCCAGGGATCGAAAGAACATGACCCTCTTGGGAGGTATGTATTCCGACCATGCTTTTTGTTACTTCTGAATGAATATCTATCGTTCCAAGTATAATTGCTATGCATTTCGTTTACCCTTCCACTCGCGTTTAAATCTCTAATTGTTATTTGAAAACAATATTTGCAGTAGTATAGCTTAATTGATTTTATTCTGATTTGTTGCGCATATTCCAACTTATAATAATTAATTTATTTTGAATTGATAGAAAATTTTATGGAACTTTTTTTTTTTATTTTTTAAACATTTTTCACCGATAATAGTTGATTTTGCTTTGTATCGGTGGACAATTTGATATAAAGCTTTCTGTTCTGAGTGGGTAACTTGCCAAAAACAAAACTAAGGTCTGAGTTGCTTAAGAGCAAGGTTTACATGACTTGATGTAGATTTTGTCCTTGTGCTTCAGTTCATAACATGAACTTAATTACTTCATCTGGCTCAATGTTACAGTCAGCAAGTAGGGGTTGCATCAATTTAAAGCAACTATAGGGCTGCTAGAAGTTGTTATAGGTTTTAAATGGATGAACAAAATAGTAGGGTTTGATGGTTGATTTAGGATGGAAATAATTGAATCTTACAGGCTGCAACAATTAAAAAGGAAATAAATCTTGTTCCTGATCTGGGTCAGCGAACACAATGGTACCTGCAAATGGTAATTCAGTTGATACATCTTTGGTTCTGCTTCAAACTAAAGGGCCCAAAGTCTTCTCAAACTTAGGATTGCCTCACACAATCCCCAATGAGAATAATGATTGTTGAAATTTTCATGAACGTGCTCTCTTTATTGAAAAATTTTGCATGCAGACTTTCAAATCCAAGGTAGAAAACTATCAAGATTGACTTAAAACAACTCTTAAAACTATAAATAATGACCTGACATAAGTAAAACCTAAAGATTCTAAGGTCAAAATATGCAATTTCTGTTGAATCTGGAACTCACCATGACACTCGTTTCATAAAGAAACATATACCCCTGATATTAGGTGCCCTATATGCTCCAGTTAAAATTTTTTCTTTGCATATGCATATTCTCATAATTTATTTCATGAAAACATCTTTTTGCTGCATTGTTTTCAGACATGTCTTATACTTAGGTTGTCCTCGATTATTGGTTCTCTATGAATAGAGTTTCCCTAATGATTTTATAGAAGAATAATAGGATGTTGTCATAAATTGGATTAAAAAAGAATTGGTCTTCAAATCCAAGTGACTGCTAGATGTATTTCTTGATTGTGCATTGATTAGTAATTGATTTTGTTAGGCCTTAAGGTGTAATAGTTTTCCCTGGAATTCTGTTGTGTTTTTTACAGATTTAGTGCTTTCAAACAAGCTCGTTTTGTATGATTTGGAAAATCAGGCCATTGGATGGACAGAGTACAATTGTGAGTATCCTGTTACTTTTCCTTTCTTGTTTTCTTTATAATTTTTGTACTAATAGGTGTAAATCCTGGGCTATTATTGTTTCACATGTTTTATGTGATTATAAGAGATATTTCTGCTCTCCTTTTCCTACTTGATTGAATCTTGATTCTGAAGTATTATTATTACTGGATGTTTTTGATGGGTTGGTTTTGTACTGCCTGTTTGACAACTTCTATCACTATTTCTAACACTAAGAATTCTAGAAGTCATTTTTTCTTTTTTTTGGAAGGTGGAAGGTGAAGACATTGTTTTATGTACTTAATCATGTACTCCTAACTAGCAACTTGTTCACATTAAAAAATATTTTCAAATCTACTTCTCTTTTCAATTTTCAAGTGAATTTGAGTCTTATGGCAAAACATTAAATGTTGGATGGTATCCAACAGAAGTATTGGTTCTTGCTAGAAAGCACTACATGATCTTCAATAGAGATGTAGAGTTTTCCGTGTTCTATTTTCTTGACTTTTTTTTTGGATTTGACTTCAGGCTCTTCAAGCATACAAGTGTTGGATGAACGGACTGGAACAGTGCATTTAGTAGGTTCCCATTATATTTCTTCTGCTTGCCGTTTGAATACCCAGTTTATTATAATTTTGATTTTGTTAGCTACGTTACTACACTATCCAGACTGCTGATATTCCATAGTCTATACAAAATACTAACTGTCAATTAAGATAAAGAAATCATATATAGAAATGAAATCAGCATATTCATCTTGATATAGTTTGTTGAATGATTAACATGATATTATAGAATACTTGACATAACTGGTAAATCTATTCCCATACCAAGTACAGCAACAAACTGGGATAAAGACCTTGGAGTAATACATTCACTATTGCCTTTTTTACTTCCCGTAGTGAATCTGTAGAAATGCAGGAAACTAACCAGATTCGCTCATTCCATTACTTCCCATCACTTTGGCTGAGCGTAACTTTAGCTCCTTTTTCAATATGTAACATGATATCTCAAGGTACACCTATGTAATGTATGTAATTACATTAACCATTTGTATAAAAAAAAAAATCAGTATTACTAATGAAATGTGAGTTTCAATTGTATCCTGAGACATTCTTTGTATGTGCCAACCAGCTTTTCTTCATTTTGTGATGGACCGTAATTATTAATACTTAAGAGAGACCAAGAGCAAGTCTTTGGAGTGATGGACTCAAGTTGTTCAATTTCGCATACTCTATACTTGCATGTTGTGTTGTATCGTGTATCATGTTCTGCTCTGTTATTTAAACGAATTTGATTGGATATCCATTTAAATGACTAATGACTTTCACGGTTATGATTGTTTGAACAATGAGTTATGCTCATTGATTTATGGTTACGATAGTCTTGGTATTGAAGTAAAGAAGTCTTGTTGGTGTTGGGGACCTGCGTTCCTTTTTTATAAGCTTAGAGCCTCAGACCCCTACAAACTTTCTGGTTTGCGAGTCTTGTTTTGCAAGAAAAGCTTGAAAGGACCTCCAAATGATTCTAAAGTTTTGTTTGACACTGTGGGAAGTTGTTGTGAGAGTTCTTTCAACCCCACTGATTTTTTTTTCCACTTGAAGTCTCCAATTAGAAAAAAAAAAAAAAAAGATTCAATGCCGAACTTTTCTCAATGTCAAATAGCAATTTGTTAACAGTCATGTCATGTGATTTATTGATATAGTATTAAACTTTTAATTTGAATTTAAATTTCAATAACTTCCTATAAAAAAAATGACACCTAAGACAATACAAACATAAGTACAAATATCATTGTCATTGTTTTAAGAAGAGCAATAGCAGCCTCCTACTTTTGAGATCTCAATCATTGTTTTAAGAAGAGCATTAGTGGTAGCAGCCTCTTACTATTGGAAATCTCTCAATCATTGTTTTAAGAAGAGTATTAGCAGCCTCATACTATAGAAATCTCTCAATCTTTGAAAATTTTCTCAGCCTCCCTTATCCTATAGCTTATACCAAACAAAAGAATAACCAAATTTACAACACCTTCACAGCACAAAAATAACCAACCACCAGTTATTGATTTACATAAATGAAGAAACCAAATCCCCAAGTCAAGCACCCATTCTCTTCCTATAATTTCCGAATCCGAAAAATCCCCTCGCGGGTATTTGCTTTCGTCCATGAATCCTTCATGCAAGCCCAAGGCATTTTTTGGGTAATATGGTTGGTGCAATGATTATTATCGATTCGTAATTTTATATATAAAATTAAAATGATAACATATGTCTTTTAAATATTTTAAAAAATTAATTAAAAAAAATCGTTTTAATTTTATTTGTAAAATTAAAAATTTTTATTGTTAATTTATCAAATAATTTCTCTTAATATGAATGCCAAATTTTAATTTAAATAATCTATCTCTTTATAAAATTGGTAATAATTTTTAAAAAAAGCCGCTATCTTCTAGATTTAGAAAACAAAAGTAAAAAAGAGTTGAAAAGAGAGTTTCCTTTTAAATAAAAAGGCATATTATAAGAAAAAGCTTTAAAGGTTTAAAAGGCAAATGGCTTATAGTTAAAGTGAAACAAAATAAATTTAAAATTTAAAATTTAATTGATTGATGTAATATTTGTAATTGATGGCATTTAATAAACTTAAAGTTTAAGTTTTAATATTTAAAACTTTTTTATTTTTTAAATTGTGATGCTCTTTAAAAATAATATGAAAATTAAAGAATTTGATAAAAATTAATGGTATAAAAATATTTTAAATTATAATATAATATAATTATTATTTTATTTTTCATTCAATTGATTTTAAAATTATGAAATATAAAATTTAATTTGTTGTTGTGACGTTTTTTGTAATAAAAAAATTTATATAGCAAAACAATTACTATACTTTAATATAAAAATTTGAGCTTTTTTTAAATTATTGAAAACTAATAATTATTTTAATAAAATGATTGATTATTTACTATTTATTTTTGGTGATAAATAAAAGTAATAGTTTTCTTACGTGAAAAACACGTTGGTAGAAATACACGTGCGGCTTCCATCCAGCTACTCTCGAGTTAAACACTAAAAACGACATCGTTTTAGTAAAACGGGAAACTTGAGTTCACCGCTTGTGTACAACTAAACGAAGTGTGTATTTTAAGTTAAAACAACCGGAAACCCTAACCATTTAAACACCCTTTCTCTTTCTCTGCAGCTCTCTAGCTGTCTCCCTCCGCAGTCTTTTCTCTCTCTCTCTCCCCAGTTTTCCTCTCTTTCTCTAAACCCTAGGCTCTCATCTCATTACACTGAATTTGAGAAGCTGGGGTTTATATTTTTAAAATTTTCCATTTTTTTCATAATCGAATTGAAAAAATATGGATCTTCCAAGTCTGGCTGTTGTTCTTCAAGCTGCTCTTAGTCCCAATCCTGCTGAACGCAAAGCTGCGGAACAAAGCCTTAATCAGGTTTTTCTTTTTTAATTGAAAATTTTAATTGTTATTAATTGGTTTTGATTATTAGTTTTTCACTTAAAAAAATTGAATTTTTGGATTTTGTTTGGTTGCAGTTTCAGTATACGCCTCAGCATCTGGTGAGACTGTTACAGATCATCGTTGATAATAATTGCGATATGGCGGTTCGTCAAGTTGCTTCTATTCATTTCAAGAACTTCATTGCTAAGAATTGGGCTCCGCTTGATCCAAGTATTTAATTTTTAATCAATATTTTTATTATTATTATTTTTAAATTTTGCTATATTTATGTTTATGTTTATTTTTTTTTTATTTTTAATAAATGTAGATGAGCCACAGAAAATTTTGCAAAGTGATAAAGATATGGTTCGCGATCATATTCTTGTATTTATAGCTCAAGTTCCTCCTTTGTTGAGGTATAATAATTTGGTGTCCCTATTTTTTTAAAAAAATTTTTGGTTTAGAATTATTTACTGTTTCATTGGTAGGGAGCAGATTACGCTTACGTTGTTCTATGCATCATATTGGTTTTATTGAAGGGTGCAACTGGGTGAATGTCTCAAGACCATTATCCATGCTGATTATCCGGAGCAGTGGCCACGGCTTCTGGACTGGGTGAAGCATAACCTACAAGATCAGCAGGTTTATGGGGCTTTATTTGTGTTGCGGATTCTTGCTAGAAAATATGAGTAAGGATATGCCATAGTTTTCTCTTTTTGGGTTGCTTGATTTCTTTATATATGTTTTATGTTATTATATTTGTTTCAATGCAATCTTTATTTTTTATGTAAGTTGCTCGTTGAAGGTGATGGAAAGTATTTGTTTAATTCAACTAGGACCTTTTCACGGCCTTAATACTTGATTGCAGCCCATTCAAAAGCGTTACTATGTCTTAATTCAAATAACTACTCATTGTTTCTCTTAATTTGGTTCATGTTCACATTTTTGTCTTTATATTTTTTAGTACTAATTCCATCATTTTCTTTGTCATTCTAGGTTCAAGTCAGAGGAGGAGAGAACTCCAGTTCACCGCATTGTTGAGGAGACATTTCCCCATCTTTTTAATATATTCAACAGACTTGTCCAGATTGAAAAACCAGCAGTGGAAGTAGCTGATTTAATCAAGCTTATTTGTAAAATTTTCTGGTCATCTATCTACGTAAGTTTTTAACTGCTAGTTTTATATTGCATTTTCATTGTCTCTTTATCGTCTGATCTATTAATGGGATGCTAAAGGGCAGCTTCTGACATTTATTTAACCTTTTTGTTTATATTCTTTTTAATCATCCATTTTCTGTTTGTCTCTTTTATTTTTCTTTTGAGGTGAACTTTTGGGCATAGTTATGAAAAGAATTTGTTCTTATTTGAAATTATTCATATTATTGTTTGTAAACAAAGTGTTGTTGGTGCAGATTTGATGGTCCTATATAATGCTATTGTTATGAACTCTTGATCTCTCCTTATGTTATCACCCACAAGATAATAGGAGTATTTCTTTTTTCTTTTTTTAGTTCAGATGTAAAAAGTTTCTCAATCTATTACTAGTATGCTAACTAATCCATTTTAGAGTACTTTTATTTTGAGCTCCAGGAACAATCTCATGTCAAATAGCTTGAGCAAAGCCACTTGTACTACAGTGTTTTTATGTCTACTGTAACTACCCCGACCTGTTTTTATAAGATTAGTATGATTTACTTGCCATCTTTTGGTTATTGTCTCTACTTCTCAGTTGGAGATTCCAAAGCAGCTACTTGATCCAAATGTGTTTAATGCTTGGATGATGCTTTTCTTAAACGTGTTGGAGAGGTCTGTACCTCCAGAAGGCCAACCTGTGGATCCTGAGCTCAGGAAATCATGGGGATGGTGGAAGGTGAAAAAATGGACAGTTCATATTTTAAATAGGCTATACACTCGGTAAGTTTTAAAAATTGTAACATATTTGGAATAATTTATAATAGACTTAAGTTACTAAGCTTATTTGTGCTTTTGGTGGCTATGTTATAGGTTTGGGGACTTAAAGCTTAGGAATCCAGAAAACAAGGCTTTTGCCCAAATTTTTCAGAAGAATTATGCAGGAAAAATTTTGGAATGCCACTTAAACTTATTGGCTGTGATTCGTGTTGGTGGCTATCTCCCTGACAGAGTTACCAACCTTATTCTTCAATATCTAAGCAGCAGGTTTGCAATGTGGTTCTGCATAAATCTTGTTTATAACTGTTGCTTTTGATTTTCCTTAGTCAGTGTAAGATACTAAGTTATGCTTTTGACAGAGCTTGCCATTCTTTCAAGATAAACCTGTATTTAACTGAAAGAATATGATTGTTTTAAATGTTTTCTTTCCAGTGTTGCCTGTTACTTTCATTCTATTGCACAGAGAGAGAGTAATGTGCTTAGCTTATTGATGGATTTATGATTACCCTGGAGTTCTGGCCATAACTATGAAATCTTTTGTGTAGCAGTGTTAATTAGAATCATTTCTTTCTGTATTACGTATGGAATCTTTCACTGATGCCATATTCTCTTTCCTGGGTTTCCGTATTGCTAATTGTATTTAAATTTAGATATGTTAATAATGGATTTTGATTGAAAAATATTTAATTATATGCAGCATCTCGAAAAATAGCATGTATACTTTGTTGCAGCCACAGCTTGATGTTCTTCTTTTTGAGATAGTTTTCCCTCTCATGTGCTTCAATGACAATGATCAAAAGCTTTGGGATGAAGATCCACATGAGTATGTAAGGAAGGGCTATGGTAAGCAACGAAAGCTGGTGTGCCTGTTGGAAACCTTGAATGAGCCACACTGATTCTTACATTCTATTGTTGTACTGCAGATATAATTGAGGATTTATATAGCCCAAGGACTGCTTCCATGGACTTTGTCAGTGAGTTAGTCAGAAAACGTGGAAAAGAGAATCTTCCAAAGTTTATTCAATTCATCGTGGGAATTTTCAAGAGGTATTCTTTTACTATGGAAGCCTAGTAAATATTGGGATTCTTTGATGTTGACTTAATTTTTTTATGGTATATTCATGGTATATCTTTTTCTTGTTCAGATATGATGAAGCACCTGTAGAATATAAGCCTTATCGACAGAAGGATGGTGCTCTCCTTGCTGTGGGAGCACTTTGTGATAAATTGAAACAAACTGAGCCCTATAAATCTGAATTGGAACATATGTTAATGCAACATGTTTTCCCAGAGTTCCGCAGTCCTGTTGGTCATCTTAGAGCCAAGGTGTTTTTTTACTCTGGGGGACATCTTTATCCTTTCCCCTTCATTGCTCTTTTCGACGTTTGCAAGGGATATATAGATACATTTCTATGGGTGAGAATTCTCATACTTATACTTTTGTGTTCTGGATATTAGGCGGCTTGGGTAGCAGGACAGTATGCCCATATAAACTTCTCTGACCAGAATAATTTCCGCCAAGCACTGCTTAGTGTTGTTTCTGGGTTGCGTGATCCTGAACTTCCTGTTCGTGTTGATTCTGTTTTTGCATTGAGATCGTTTGTTGAAGCTTGCAGAGGTATGTAGCTGATACTTCCTCTTTGAACTTTATTTTATATTTTGTACAAGTTGGGTTTGGATTGAGCAACCTTGGTGCCTAAATTGCTACCATTGTTTACTACTTATGTTCTATGTATTCACACCCTTTATTAACGGAGAGTTCACTGCTTAACAGAAAAGAAATTGTTTCGTATGCAGATTTAAATGAGATTCGTCCAATTCTTCCTCAACTACTTGATGGTAGGTATTATTTGAAACTTGGTTTT